CCTTTGTAGGCTAAAGGTAAACAACAATGTTTAAATAACAGGTCTTCGCAAAGGCTCAGACCACATATACATGCACAGACAGGCTTCCACGGCAAGTCAGAACCACAACTCTAACTGCTGGGTAACTGCTGGATAACGTCCAGCCAACTGAAATATCCTCATTAAAGGAACCAATTGTAGTTTAGTAGAAACTGTTACTCTCCCTGGTAAGCTGTGACCATAAAATGTAAACTACGTGCCCGTTTTTACCCAGTCTCCCCCTCCTACAAGCTCTTTTCCCTCCCCTTTCCTTCCAGATTAACACACAGCTTGCATCAGACTGGCCTTTGGGCAAATCCCCTCCCCTAAGGTTTCCGTCTCAGAGAAGTATGCGCATTTGGTTTTTACTCATCGCCCTCGGCAGAAGTAGTTCAGAATATATCAGACGTTGTTTTGAGACTGCACTGCAACACTGCTGGAGCTACTGTTTCTTTCAAGATAACTAATACTGCTTCCCTGAGAACAGCTAATAAAAACAACCTAGAAACAAACAAGAAATTATTACCACTTCATCAAAACTTGTCTTCATTTCTATAGCTTCATGAAAGCACAGCCACACCTCTGTTCAAGTACTGCTGCAATAAGCTGCCAGTTACAGAGAACTCTCAAAGTAGTTCATTTCTTGGTTTTCAAGCAAAATCTGATACAAAAGTGAGCTACCTAAAAGGCTGCTTTAAGAATTAAAACTGTAGGTGCTATTGTTAAGTTTTTCATTCCCAGGTATTCTATAACATAAGCATTCAAACAAGCCCCTTACAGTGAGGTAGGCAATTACTCCCTGTTTCATAATTATAGAACACAAGCCTAAATGTAAGTACTAATAAAAATATGGGAGTTTTCCTCATCTTTTAGTTCAAATTAATATTCTTCCTTTAACACACCTGCAAAGAGTATTCACACATAGATCTGTTCTGTATTAAACGAGTCACTGTACACTGAAAGCCCCTCTGGAAGCTTCCATTACAAAGCGGGTATTTTCCTTGTGTCATACTATGACTACACAAGAAGAATCAGTAATCCAGTGGTCAACAAACCAACTGCCTCCTCCTAACACCATTTCCAGGAAGCCACCTTTCCCCCCTCAAAAAAAAAAAAAAAAAAGCCTCACAACCTCTAGGGTACTCAAGAATCCTGGTCTTTATAGTAGAGTAGTATGCACAGAACTAGGCACAATGCTCAGCTGACAGCCACCTTCAGACACTCAAAAAAAGGGGAAGCTGCTGAAACTGAGCTTATGTCCTAAAAGGTAAGCTCAAATGAGACTCTGGACTCCGGACTTTTGAAAGCTTCACACTGTGTCATTCTTAATTACTGCCTTCTCCCTTTCTTTCCTGGTATCCTCTATATAACCTACAAAGGAAAAATGTAGTGCTATTAGATGCTTCCAATCCTGTTTTTCTACCCCTCCTCCCACAACACAGGGATGCCCTGCAGGCTGTATAAGCAACCAATATGGACTACTTAGAGTAGCTCCCAAGGCCCCAGTCAGTTCTTATATAACTGGACTCCACCTCACCATACTACTTATGTAACACATATTAAGGACCACCTATTATACAGGAATCTTCTATATTAGTCATACACTGTTACTTGCATTCCAGTAGTTCTCAAACACCATTCATGAAATATTCAAGATTTATCCCCTACCAGGTTACTACTGGGGAAGTAAAAAGAAAAAAATCTTATCTATCTGGGGACAAACTAACAACAGAAAAAGTGAAACATTTTTAAATAGAATAAACCTCCAACCTTAAAGCATCAGCAATTTTAACTGTTAATTTATTCATTGGGTTAGATGCAGTGGCTAAATTTACACCATGGCATAAAAGAACAAGACATGGGAATTGGCACTGCACGGCTTTGAAAGCTCAAGAACCTCACCCAAACAGTAAGAGTTGCGTTCCTTAAAGAAAAGCATTAGGATTGGTAAACATACATTTTTCACTTCCCCTGCTTTAAAATATTTAAATAATGGAAGACTCAGAAAATATATTTGCCAATCTTCCAAACCTATCCAGACCTGTGTAACGAGTTCATTTGCCTATGAAGCTCAGAAAGCACAACATGTGGAGTCCTTCCTCACAATATTTGCAAACCACAGTTTTCATCTGCACTAAGTATATACATCAATTCCTGTGTTAAAGAAACAGGCCGCTGTGGCCTGACTTTGGAATACACACATCGCCCCACAGAAAAGCCGCTCAACTTCCTACAACAGGATCCAACAACACACAAATAAAAGAACAGCGATCCACTTTTCCTGTTCAAACAGAATAAAGTCATGAACACGTCGCAGATTCTCCCTTGGCCCCCCCGCCCAGTACTCCCGGCAGAGCAACACTGGAGCAGCCATGACCTCCTCCTCAGAAGAACAACTCCGCATAGCCTGTGCGTTTTCCTCAGCGGCTTTAATGAGGTCATTTAAACATCGCTTAAACCGACTGTTTCGGTAGGAACCACTCCGTGACCCCGGGAGCCTGACCGGGAGCAGAGTGCCCTCGCACCGGGCGGGCACCACCGTGAGCGCACCCGGCTCCCACGCTCGGGCGGAGCCAGCAGGCGCCCAGGGGGAACTTTCCCTGGCGGTGGGTAAAGCCTTGCGCAGAGAGGGGGCGGAATGGAAAGCTTCCCCCAAGAGCAGCTACACCCTGGAGGTGGGTGGAGAGTAAGGAGAGAAGCGAGAACCTTCCTCGGCAGCAGCTACACCCTCGTGCACAAGGCTGATGGGGGAAGGGAACCAGCGCGGGACCGACGGCGTGGTGCGGGAGGAGGGGGGGGGGGAAGCCCGGGCTGTCCCGGGCAGCCGCCGCCGCCTAAGCCAGCTTGGTCCGCAGCCAAACCCCACAGGAATGCAACGCGGTCACATGACCTCCGGCGGACGTGCAACTCCCTTCCCTCTCCAGGGACACCCTGCGCCATCTTGTACTGACGCAGTTACAAAGGCAGACACGAGTTGCTCCCCTCTCGCTCTTCCCCCGCTCCTCTCCGCACAGCCCCGGCTCTCTTTGGGAAGAAGCCCAGGCCTGGTCTTCCTTTCCTTTTCCACCAGCTCTTCGCGGACGCCCTGCCCACGGAGTTCCTCCCTGGCGCTGGGATCATGGCGCCCGTTTTCTCCCTTTGCCTCCCCCGGCAACTCCCGACCCTGCCCAGCTGCGGCTGCCCCTGCTGCAGGATGATGTCAGCGCCAGCCAATCAGGGCGCGCCGGGCCACCCCAGCCGGCCCAGCCATTGGCTGCCGCGCCGCTCCCGCCCCCCTCCTGACTCGGGCTCCGCCGCGGTTCGCTGCGGAGCCGCAGCCAAGGCACTAGTGCGGGGAGGGGAAGAGGAGGGGAAGAGGAAAAAAAAAAAAAAAAAGGCAACCCTACACAAAAAACCGACAACCAAACCCACCAAGACGCCAGCCGCCATTTCGCGCAACAACAGGCAGAACCCGAGCGAGCAGCCCCAGCCAAGCGCCCTAAGGAGAGAGAGAGAGAGAAAGAAACAAGAGACACACGCACAGAAGAGTTAGACAGGAAAAAATACCCATAGACTCCGCCATGATCACAAGACGTTTAATCGCCCCCCCTCCTCCCTTAGACTTAATGCCCCATTACAGCCGCCTCCTCTGCGTCCAACCAGCTAGCAGATCCCTTCACCTCGGCTCCCTCCTGCCGCAGCAGCAGCTGTTTAGAGCCCCAAACTCTCTGTGCTCAAGGTGTGGGGGGACGCTAGTCTATGGCGCTGCTGCTAACTGCTTCTCCAGTCACCCGAATGTTGCGGCTCCATCGAGGCAGGGTAAGAGCTGCCAGCCCAGCTTTTATCTGGTGCCCCGAGTTTGCGCACTGAAGGAGGCTCGCTCAGCCCCTGGTGGGCGTCGAATGAAACCCCAGCCGCCGCCTCCCCTCCCTCAATCAGCCGTATCGCTGGAGGGGCTGAAGTCGGGCCGGGGAGATAGGGCGGCGTGCGGGCAGAGCGGGGACCTGGGAGGAGATATGGTGGCAGGAAGAAGGGCTTGGTATAAATGGCAGAAGCTGCATCTGCCCCGAAACGCTAAGCGAGCTCCTGGCTTTGCCAGCGCCGCTGGTCCGGATGGAAGCACGCTATTCCTGCTCCTGAGCGCCGTTCCCTAAAGGGCAAACGGGGCTCGTTCGCTGCTCGTCTCGTTCCCCGCAGAACGCGTTGTGCTGTCCCACTTGCTTTAAGGAAAGAAGCTCTCTCCCACTTGCCTTATATATGAGTCCTAAATGCTTCGGGGAAGATTCTCAGCCTCGAGTGTCTTACTGAGAGATTCAGTCAAAACCTCCTGAGCGGGTCTCGGCCAAAGCTCCCGCTCTTTGCTCGCCCCCCTCTTCCCCGCCCCTCAGTAAGTTCCTCTGCGTGTGTGAGATCCGGCGGGTCTGTCCGGCTTTTCGCGCAGCTTGTGGCGAAAATGTGCTCAGTTTAAGGTTCACAAAGAACATGCATGCCGAGAGCATCGACGGTCGTGAGGAAGAAGCCGGAGGTTGGGGTGGGGGAGAGCGGCCGAGGAGGGAGTTTTGGCATTCGTTCATCGGAGGATGCAGCTCTGACTCAGACATCCTCGCTCCCGCCCGCGCTCGGCCCCACAACAGGCCGGGACGGAGCCCCCGCCCCTCCCGCGCGGGCTGCGCCGCCGGGGCTGCGGATCGCCCCCGGCGCCAGCCCCCGCTGCAGCCACCCCTCCTCCGCTGCCCTGCTTCCCTCCTCACGGCCCCCCTGCCCAGCCCCTGCCGCAGTCTGGTGCCGCGGCCGCGCCCAGACCCCCCGAGCCGTTCAGCCGTGTTGCAAAATGGACACTGAGGTCTCGGCGGGCGCGGGCTGCAGTCCGGGCCCGTAAGTAAAATGGCGGCTGTTTGGCTTCGCCTTGGTAACCCTGCCCCTGTCAGGCGGGGCGGGTGAGCCCCGTGCAGGGGGAGGGAGGGGAGAGCGGACGCCATTTTCCCAGAGAGAGGCAGTGACATAGAAGGGAGCGTAGGAGGCTGGAGGGAGGGAGGCACGGGAGCAGCGGCGGCAGCAGCGGCGTTTGTACACAGGTCCCAGGGCAAGGGCGCCTCTGAGCTGGTCCCTGTAGGGTTCTGCGCACTGAGCTAGGTTTGGGGGGAGGGGGGGGCTCCTCTTTCCCTTTTCTTTCTTTTACTAGAGCCTGCTGAGGGCTGAGTCCTGTCTAGGGTAGGGATATCCGCAGTGGGGCTGTTGCATTGTTTTGGTTGGGATAGAGAAGGGGCTCAGCTGAGGGGTCCTGCTGCCTGGCCTGCGACCATTACAGGTGAGTCTTTGGTTATTATCATCATATTCTGCTGTGGGTGCTTTGGGGGAGGGGGGGGTGGTAGAAAGGGAATGAAATGCGACGGGAACGTCTCATTACCCTCGGTGCGAGTGTAACTCCTTCCCACCATGAAATGTGTTTAATTTCTGTTTAAGTTGCCTTGAATTTGCTTTTCCTTTTGTGGGGGTTTGGTTAAAAAATGGCAGGCTGTCGCTATATCTTGTGAATATGGCGGGTTACTGTAACTGGAGGAGCTGAGGAGAATTTTTTGGCAGTTACGCCAGATTTATGCATTATGCTTGGAAAATGAGCCAAAAGGAGCTATTATGTGACAACATAGGCTTCCTTGGGCTGGCGGATTTCGGAACGGGTTTGTGCCTTATTGGGACTGCGTATTGAGTTTTACGAAGCTTGGGGAAGCCTATTCTTTTCCTCCATCCTGTATATTTTTGCTTTGTGGTACTAAAATGCCTCGTTATAGGCCTAATCTCTCTGCCTTCCACACCCCCGCCTCCCTGCCTCCCTCCCTGTTAATATCTCCGCTTCGTGGTGTAACCTGGACAAACGGAGAGCAGTCCCCAGGAGTTTCTGTGCCAATTTAAAAGGGGATCAGTCTCCCCACCCCCTTTCTCCGGGCTGTAAGTAGTTACACTGGTGCATCCCTTTCTTGCTTTAGTTTCTGCAGCCGGTGTTCGTGTTCCCTGGGTGGCATATTTCAGTCTCTCTCTTGAAGCGATAAGTATTGGTGGGTTAGGCCCTATTGCTGCAGACATAGGGGAGGAAAAACAAACGGTTCACTGTGTAGTACTAAATAGGGTAGAGAAACATAATATAGCTTGATTATAAAGGTCCTGTATTCCCCCATACTCGGCCATTAGGGAATGTGCGGTGTTTGAAAGCCCTGAGGTCCCCTGAAATGGTACATACTACGTGTCGTGAAAAGCAGAAGTTTAGTACTGCATCTAGATTTAGGAATGTTTTAATCTGTTTATTTACAGTACCTTAAAAGAATAATAATGAAGCGTTTTTGTTACTCAGGGCTCAGATCGATGAAAAGAAAGAGATATGCATGGCTTTAGTTACAATGCATGATTAATTGATAATCATCACTATACTTTTAAAGTTACTTTTAAAAAATGTGGAGCAAATTTTTTAATTTCCCTCTTTTGTCCTTTAGAGATTCTAAAAATGGCGGCCTCAGGCTGATGTTGTGGTAATCTAATCAGCTCGGGTCCTCCACACCCCATGCAGTGCGTTTGTCTGCAGCATATTAGAGTCTTACTATGTTTAAATGAAAAGGCTGTTCCCTTCAAATAACGTACAAAACATCTCTTGACTTTACTACGATTTAAAAATGCTGTGTTCCAGCTGATTAATTTTATTGGTTATGTGTGTGAAAGGCAAGTGAACGAGACCACTCTGTTCGGGGAGAAGGGGGGTGGAAAGAGGCAACAGACTCAAGCAGCTCCTTCGAGGGGTGTGTATATGTTGCTGTAAGGTAATATGTGTCAGTTTAATAATTTGGAAAAGCTCCTGCGTTTGTGATAGACACTGTACATCTGTCCGTCCTATTAACGACACAAAATCAGTAATATTTATCAACACAAGTAGTGGATTAAGATCACTAAGCTAAATTCTTTGTGGAAGCACATTCGTGAACGTCATGTTCACCTTCCAGGAAACACCTTCGGTGGACATCAGTGTAGTAATTCCATGTATTCCTACTGTGAGGATACAAAATGAACTTAATACTTAAAGGAATAATGCATGCAGGATTATAACCTGTTACTTTATTAAGACGCAAAATTTCTTTTTCCACGTAATCTTGGCATTATGTTTTTTTCTTCAATTTATTTTGTGTATTGCTATATAAATTGTGTATGTGGTAATACACATCCAAATGTTGAGAGAAGGTGCAGTTCGTAAGCTCTAATTTTTTTCCTAAATGAAATATGAACCTTTTAGTATCACCACTATAAATATGTTTGAGTGGGGGGAAGGGAGGTCACAAGGATTTATTATTTGGTAGTTGGTGTAGTGTACTCTGATACATACTATGGAGGCTGCAACTGTATGTTTTACGAAACAATAAAAAAATTTTCACTTTTTTTTAATGCTTATCTTTAATCTCATCCTTAACTTAATGAGATATGAATTCCTATTCCAATATAGCTTTAGAACCTTCTGGATTTAAGCAATCAAAAGTGAGGCATTGAAATGGAAAAACTGTCTTCAATCTCTGAAGAATTTTAATTTAGATACCATTTAGAAGCACTGATGTGTGGTTTAAAGTGTACCTAAAGTTGAACACTAAGATAATTGGACTTCTAGGGTGTTATTAATGCATGCTTTTAGTGTGTTTTGAGGCCAAAGTCTAAGGGATTTTGTTAATTCTCTAGTAATGCATGCTCCTATCATTTTTCTTTAAAAAGACATGATTTTTTTTTCATAAACCATGTCTTACTCTGTTTGTTTAAGAGTACATATATAAAAGTCCAAAGAGTGTATTGGCCTTTATGGAAACGTTTTGCCTTTTTCTTTCCTCTCCCTAGGTTGAAAACTCCTGTTCTTGATTTTTTTCTGATATTATGACTTAGAGGGCTATACAGCTCTGCAGCTCTTCATGGCCTCAGTCATGTTCTCAGGCAGACATCTGATTCACAATTAGGAGAAAAGAATTTTGTACACTTTACAGAAAGTGATGGGGGAGAAATAAACCAAAAATACTGATTTTCAAATTTTACATCTTATTTTATAGAGGGCCAAATTTTATGCACTAAAAAACCTCTTGGGAATTTATAGAGATCTTCAGAGTTTTCCTGTGTGAGTTTTAATGAGTCAGTTTGCCTTCGTGACTCAGTTTCTCCATTTGTAAAAACAGATCTATGATTTGTTTTAAGGAGACAACACTCAAAACAAATTCTACTTTATTTTGTACTTCACTGATGTTTTTATGTGTATAGTCATAAAGAATGACATGCCTTGCCTGCAAAACTAATGCAAACTTCTTGAAAGAGGGAAGGTTTGAAATCTAAATTTCATTTTTTTTCGAGACAGGCTTCTGTTTCACAAACATTGTGTTACAAATAGAATTATATGGACTGGAGTTATCAAACCATTTATGTATCTTGAAGCTTTTCATATCTGAAGGAAAAGTTTGCTTATCTGTCACTTAGCCTTTTGGGTGAGATTTTTTTGCCATCTGGGAAATTCCAGAGGAGAAATAATACTGACTCTTTAGACTAAATCTGGGGAAAGTTTCTCTTAGGACTAAGTAACCTCTTTAGGTTACTTTGAGGTAATGCAGCTCCTAATTTCCTCTTGGGCAATTTCAGCACAGACCACTGTTAATATTCTGTTGGAAAGCAACAAAAATACAGAAATCGGTGTGTCACTTAAGGTTGTAGTGTTTCTCCAGGTCTGATCTCGGTTTGATTTAAGGACAGTCTTAATTTTGCATGCATGCTAATACTAATTTTAGTAAGGACTATTTGTGGGACTGATTTAAGGAGTGGTGTATGTAATTGTGGAATCTTGGTATTGTTCTAACTAGATTAATGTAAGTGAAGGTTTAATGAAAGTATTTTGCTGTTGTCATGTGACGTTTTAATAAAATCTGGTGGGAGAGATGTAGATGAGTGAAGATATAAAATAGAACCCAATTTAGATTTCTGGAGTGATCCTAAAGAACTGCATCTATGTTATTGGCCTCGAGACTTCCATCCAGATGAGCATTTGTGAATCTCTCAAAAGCAAATTTTGTTGGACAGTGTTTTTTGGACAGGTACAGTGTTTAAATGTTTCTACTGTGCAAATAGTAGTATTGATTTATTGTTAAGAATGAAACTTAAGACATATCTGTGGGGAAAAAAAGTTTTAGCAGATGTAGAATGTGGATTAAGAAAAAAACACCAACTTTTAAATTCTTCCAAATTCTGGATTATTTAAAATAGTAATTGTAGTGGGCTTTTCAATGGTGTAAGATGGATTTTTCTGTCTACTTCAGTGTTCACGTTTTCTTAGTAACCAAAGAATTGTGCCCACAAAAGTTAACCTAATGTCTTTGGAGATCCAAAATTCTGCTCATGACCTTCATACTACAGAAAAAACCTTCTACAGTTGTGTTCAAAGAAAAACTGTTGTTACCTTTAAGGCATAACAAACAAATTATTTAAAAGGAACCTTTTCAAGATTTCATATACTTGCTAGGAGATATTGAGATTATTTTTATTTCCTTTTGCAGATATTAATGTATTAATGAAACAGGCAAGATTTTAAGCTCTGCTGGTGGTTAGAAAATTTTAATAATTAAGGTTATCTGTAAGCCTTTGAAGACAATTTTCTTGAACAAAATGTATGTTTTTTAACATGCCTGACTTAAGTGTTTGGTTATCTTATTTTTTAAAATTAGAACATGGTAAGAACAATGGTAAATCACAATGTCCATTCAAGTTACGTGTTTCAAAAGTGCAAGTGAAGAATATATTGTAGTAGCACACAGATTGCATTTTGTGCAAGTGGAATGTATTGGTTGCATATTGTATTGCAAGAGTGCTATCTCATTTCTTGTGATAGTTCATACATTGCTGAGATGGTGATGCAGTGTTGTAAAACCGAGGTGAGACTTGGAAGGGCCCAGCAGTTTTGCAAATCAGGCACTTGCCAAAATAGTATTGTTCCTAGTTTTAGAATTTAGTTTTAAGCTAACACTTTTAGTAGCGGAGATATTAAAATTTCATATTGCAGGCTCAGGTTAAGGAAAGTTTTTTTATTTTATTCTCGTTTGCAGTTGCATTTTGTGTACTTTATGGCATCATAATCTAGGTAATCATTTACTTTTATATCTTCATCACAAAAATAAATTCCCATCAAGTTCAAAGACGAGAGGATAAGACTAGATTTTAATGACATTATTGTACTTAAAAGGGAAGGTCTATAATCTGTTGTTGGTCCCCTTATCGTAGAATGGTGTGAGTGGGAAGGGACGTTCAAAATCATCTTGTTCCAGCCCCCATACCATGGGCAGGGACACCTCTCACTAGATCAGGTTTCTCAAAGCCTCATTCAACCTGGCCTTGAACACTTCCAAAAATGGGACATCCGCAATTTCTTTGGGCAACCTGTTTGAGTGTCTCAGCACACTCACAGTAAGGAATTTCTTCCTGACGTCTCATCTAAATCTCTCATCTTTTAGTTAAAAGCTGTTCTCCCTTGTCCTATCTATCACTGTCTACTCGTGTGAAAAGTCACTCTCCATCTTTTTTCATAAGCCTCCTTTAGGTACTGAAGGGCTTCACTGAGGTGTTCCCAGAGCCTTCTCCCGATTGAACAAACCCTCTTCTCTCAGCCTGTCTTAATAGGATTTATGCCTAGGCCTCTGGATCATCTTTGCGGCCTCTTCTGGATCTACTCTAACAGGTCCACATCTTTCTTGTGTTGTGGACTCCAGAGCTGAACACAGTGCTCCAGTAGAGTAGAGGGACAAAATCACCTCCCTGGACCTACTGCCACACTGCTTTTGATGCAGCCTAGGACACTTGGCTTTCTGGGCTCCAAGTGCACATTGCTGGGTCATGTTGTGCTTCTTGTCAACCAACATCCCCTAAGTCTTTGTCCTCAGAAGCGCACTTGATCTATTTTCTGCCTGACCTGTATTAGTATTTGAGATTGCCCTGACACTGGTGCAGCACCTTGCACTTGGCTGTGCTGAACTTCATGAGGTTCACACAGGCCTACCTCTCAAGCCTGTCAAGGTCTCTCTGGATGACATTTCTTCACTTGTGCATGTTGACCACATCAAAGAACTTCTTGTGAGGGTGCACTCAGTCCATATTGCCAACAGAGCAACGGTACCGATTCCTGAGGAATGCCAGAATGCCACTCATCACTGGTCTCCACTTGGACATCGAGCTGTTGACAGCTCGCAGCTCTTAAGAATGAAACCATCCAGCCAGTTCCTTGTCCACCAAAGGGTCCATCTGTCACATTCATGTCTCTCAAATTCAGAGGCAAGGATGTTGTGTGGATCAGTGTTATGTATCAGTCATAGAAACTGATGAAACAGCCTGTATTGACCAGTTGAGAATTTCAAATGGTGTACAGGATGGTAGGTTTGGATTTTTTACTCTGTGCAGTTCTGAATACTAAAATTGATCTGGTGTTCTATACACTTTAACTCTTCTAATTTGAGGAGGGCTAAAGATACTTTTTAACAGTCGGTGATGCTCTTGGCTCGCCTTGAGTAGACAAAGGAACCTAACTCCTAATTAGAATGGTTGTAATGGGGTTTGTTTAAAACCATATCACAAGACAGATGATATTCCTTGTCTAGACAGTTAATCCTGTTTTAACTGTTGTTTTAAAGAAACTTTTCCAATAAGGAATGTTTTCAATTGCTTGTGCTTAAACTGAAGGTGAAGACTTAAGAATTACAACTTATATATAGCTTTTGAGGAAGGTACAGAGAGATTACACCTCTCATTTAGAGATTTCCAAACCTATAATTCTAGAACAGTGAAAGAAATGTGAATACCTTATATACAGCCAATAAACAATAGAGTAGTTATTTTACTGGTTATAAGGGTACGGTTTCTCTCTCAGATGCTTTACCAAGTAATTCAGCTAATTATTTTCATTTTTTTTCTCTTTTGCTTTGGGTAGGAATGCTTGATGTGAATGTGTAATATCATTATGCAGGATTTTTATGAATGACTGTGATGTTGGTTTTTTTCATATTCTCTACTGTCTTACTTTCCAATCACATCTACTGTGCTGAAAGACAAATAAAAGCCAAATGCTGTATCTTTTTGTCCCCTTCTGTGTGGCAGTAGTATTGAAAATTAAAAGCTGTGCATTGGTCTTCCATTGCTGGGCAGAATTTCTTTGTGCTTGTTCAAAGATTATGTATTTAAGTCTCTGTAACTACAATTAAAAACATACTGAAATCTCCATTGACAACACAAAGTTATAAAGTTAAAATGCATGGAATCTAAATTTCTTAGCCCAAATAATTTAATTTTGCAAGATATTCGCAATTGGAAATAAGTTGGGTTTTGTTTTCTTGAAAATAGGAAAGATCTTTTGATCTTACCCTTCTGTATTTTTTTATCTGTCCTTGAACATGTTCTAGTTCCCCCCAATCTGTTCTCTCACTACTACTTGCCAGTTTCCTCCCCAAATTTTTGTGAAGAACATTGAAATACTGCCAAGTTGTTATCAAAAAATACAATCCAGGTTGAACTCTGGTTAAATTAACACAAAAGAGTTCTAATTGCTAGAAAAAATTAAAAGTTTTTGTTTGAAAGAGTGTGACTTTCCGACTTGCTTATGTTTAGATTCCTAGGCGTAAGTGTAGCAATTAGGTGAATGTCTACAAATTGCTTCCCCAAATAAAAGTAGAAGCACTGTTGAGTTGTTCATGTAAATCAAATGCTACTGATAAAACAGGGGAACTGTTTTTTGGAATCTACTTAGATGAAAACATGTCAAAACAGAAACATGCTCAGCTGAAATGTCAGACTTGAAATAATTTACTTTTTCTGTAGTAGGTAGCTAATAATTACAGCAGACTCCCACATCTTACTAAGCTGCATAGACAAAACAAATTAATTAGTTTATTTGATGATATGAAGCTGGCAAAATATTTAGATTGTTGAAGGTAATACAAATATGTATTTTTAGCCATGTGTTTTTCCACCCCAAAAGCCTTGGTTCTTGAGGGAATATCGGTGACTAAATGCTTCCAGTGATTGACTCACATGAGGTATACTGTTATATTTAATAAAAAATAAGTTTACTTAGCCATTGCAGTTGTAGTCATGACTTATATTCTTAAAGAATGTGGACTGTATATACTTGCATAAATGCGTTATATATTCGGATGTTTGTCAAGAATAATAGTTTAGGGTAATAGCTGTAAATGTTTTCTTGGTGAGTAGTTGGTAAGTCACATAGAGGCATTTTGTATAAGTTTAATCAACAGCTTTTTATCATTTTGTGGTAGAGGGTGAAATAAATGTTTGGAGTAAAATAGCTAACACAAAGAATGATTTAAAACCAAGGTCTTTTTACTGGAAAACTACTTGTTTTCTTACCTTTAGAATTTTTCTTTAAAGGAATTTTACATTTCTCGGTGATATACTATAGCATGCTAATGTTAGGTAGCTAATACATAGTTCTCTAAGCAATAAGCAATATTGCTATCAAAAAGTTTTTTTTTTTTCTCTTCTCATGTGTGGTACTTGTTTTGTATTTTGCAATTCCTTGACTCTCCAGCTCAAATAACTGATGATTTTTGAGTGGAAGGGCCTTTGTGTGTGTGATTTATTTTACAAAGTACTGCAGGTCTTTAGTAAACTTAAAGACATCAAGCAGTGGGCTGGTAATTTTCAGTCTTGGGCATTGAGCTCTGTAAATACGATGTCTAAAATCTCTAAGCATGGTATTGGTCTGTGTATCTCTGATTACTGCTTCTTTGATTTCTGTTCAGTAAACTAATCCTTACTTTCTCTAACTGCTTTTACCTTTATTTCCCTTCTATCACTCATTCTTTTTCTCTTCCTAGTCCCATATTTTGTCTAACTTCCACTGAGAGAAGAAAAGGAGTGAAGAGAGAGAAGAGGTAAGGGCAAGTCTTCTGTGTTTTAAGGGACTGGCATAAATATTTGAGGAAGAGATACCGCTTTCCATCATCGGAATGCACAAGAGCAGCACTGCTGGATCAGATAGTACAGGGAAAGTAGCCTACCTCCAGCAGAAACCAGCTTTTCTGTATGGCAGAAACTTGGCTAAACTGGCAGACTGAGTCTAGGTTCATACTTGAAAGGGTGGCTTGCTCTTCATAGACTGGAGTCTGTGTAATGCATGACCTGTGTACTGAAGAATCGGTACTCAAGGCTTTTATGTGTGAATCTTGGGTACCGTGGAGGAGGCAGGGGTTTTTGTCTCTTTGTTCTAGATCCCAAACTCAGGACCAATTCATGAAGTTTGGCTGTCATTGCAAACGTGACAGTCTTTGAATTTAAGGTCCTGCATTTGTCTCATGATGTTCATATGTAGGCCAAAACAAGTTGCCCAGAGAAGTTGTGGATGCCTCATCCCAGGAAGTGTTGAAGGCCAGGTTGGATGGGGCCCTGAGCAACCTGATGTGGAAGGTGTCCCTGCCCATGGCAATGAGGTTGGAACGGGATGGATCTTTCAGATACATCCTAACCCAAGCTGTTCTGTGATTCTGTGCTAATGAACTCATTAATTCACTGTGCTTGCTCTTACTCTGTATTGGCACTGTTTCAAAAGCAAAGTTGGAGGAGGAGTCCTACCTTGTGGTTGGTTTTAGTAGCAATGTTTCTTAAAACAGGTTGGTCTGATGATCACTAGGTCTGTGTCAGTACAACCAGTAATGTAATAAAACAGAAATTTGATAGGGTTAGGAACTTAGTACCATGGAGCAGCCTGAAGCTTAATGAAAATCCAAAAGGGGATGGGGGCAGCTATGAGCAGTGTCCTGGGAGAAGTTGGGAGAGGAAACCTAATGATTTTACCCATTATCTGTCATGTGTGTAATTTCAAACCAGCACATAGCCAGTATTTTTTTGGGTTTTTTGGCTGTCTGACAGGGCACTTGAGAAGGAAGTTAGATGGATGTGTGATTGCTGACTGTGTAGGTTGCTGTGAGAGCATGGGAGGTTATTGAGGGCCTTGTGAGTGAGGCTCGAAGCAGTTAATATTGTGAGGAGGAAGATAACTGCTGTGAGAGGTATACAGAGAATATTAGGCCAGTGGGAATGTTTGGGCACAAACTACAAAATACATAGGAAACCAGATTTCTTTTAGAACAAGTTGTTTCTTCTGTATAATTTGCAGGAGTTGGTCATTAATAGGTCCTAATTTATATATTTGAGTGTCCTTACTGTGTCTTATTTTCCCTACTCCCCTTTCTTTTTTGTCTCAGCACGAATTAGAAGTAAACTGCTAACTTACCTGTTACCATAGAAAGCAGCAAACAATAGCAAAGATCTGAATTTGGACTCAAAGTTGTTTCTAAGCCTGCATAGTTCATACTGCAGCTGCAGTGGTGTAACATTTGGAAGTTGGATATCCATCCTGATCTCTTAGCAAAATCTGTACAGTTGTGGAGCATGTCAGGGGAAACAGAGAAAACTTCCTGTGGGTAAGATTAGTCATTTATTCATGTATTCTGCTTCTAGGTCTGATTAAAGATGTTACCTCCTTAGAAACGGACAGCGATGAATATATATTGGTTAGTTTGATAGATGTATTTATGCTACCTATATGTATGCTGCATATTTTTTTCAGATTTGTGTGCTTCTGCGTGGATATATATACACATACACACACCCTGTAGTTCACTATTTGAAGGATATTTAGAGTATACCATTAAAATGTCAGTTTCTATCACTGTTTTTGCAAATAACCCAACTACTGTATAGACATGAATGCTCAGAGCAGTATAGAAAGCAGCAGTTTAGCAAAACATACAGTTTTATTTAGTAAAATCTTAATGTTTTACTCTCTTTTTCCTCCCCCAATTTAAAAAAAAAAGTTTAAATAAAAAATGAAAAAGGAACTAAATAAACAAACAAAAAAACATAGGAAGGGAAGCCAAGTGGGAAGGCTCAGTTTGTTGGCTCTGTGACAGTTCAGGGCAGTACTTTTCACACTGTGTGCGTGGACTCCAACAAACTATTGATATGTGCATTTTTACTTAATTTCTCCTGTATAGATTGTGTTAGGGCATAGGTGTATCAACTTCCCTTACATCTGTTCCTGTGGATTTCTTGTGGGCAGGGATGGTTCCCAGGACCACAGGTTAAAATTGTTGGCCTGTAAATCTGAAGGAAAGCATGACAACAATTGCTTTTGCTCATGATTGCAAAACATGTGTACACAAATGATGTAATCAGAGGGAGGGAGGAGGAGAATGTTTATGTTGCATTCTCAGTAAATGCACCTTACACACAGAAGATGCATGCTGTGGTAATAAAACAGAATACTACCTTTTGGTCATCTGTCTTAATTACCTGAGATGACTTGTATTAGCAAGTAACGCTAAGATCTGCAGAAATCAGCAGAGGTCTGAAAGCAGTAATATTTTGGAACTCTTTGCACCTTGCCTGAAAGACCCTGTTGAGATGGGAAATTAATTTTGGAGTGATCCTTTGTAACTCTGGAGCCAGCCTGGACTCATAGTACTATGAATTTTCTACTGGGAGCAAATACAAGTTCAGAGTTTTGTTTTGGGCTTAGTGCTGTAGATTGCTTTTACATTCCAACTGACTTGAAGTTACAACTGGATTAGCATTGTGTGCTGGTTGAACTGGAGGGTCTTGCTTGACTCGAGACTGTCGTGCAGATAGTTGGTGTTTTAACTCTGATTTACTTTTATTTGTAAGTCTACCCCTTCCTCTTCTTCCTTGGTCAGTGCTCAAGTGGAAAATTGACTATATGAGTTTGGTTGGTTGTTTCAAGTTAATTCCCTTAAGATTTGTACATATCCATGAGGTGCACTGCCCATTGCTGCATAAGTTGGGAACTGCATAAGGCTGTGACTTTTTAGGTGGCCAGGGCTGATCATTCTCGGACATTTCAATTGCTCAGTTTACTACATATGGGTAAATTATCACTTCTACCTTTTATGTATTTTTAATATCTTGAATATTAATAAATTGATTAATGGCAAATGAAAACCAACAGTGACACTGTCTGTGTAAAAAGCTGTCAGATGTACGAAGAAGAATAGTAAAACCACCTTTTGTTAAATTTCTTTCCCTTCTTTGTCTTTTGTAGTGTTAGAGGAAATTGTGGATTAAAAACCCCCACTGTATTGTAATAAAAATATTATTGTAAGTATTATAAATAATATGGTCTTGATATTTAAAGTCATAGCATTTGGTTTAAGGGATAGATAGTTGGTATACATAGATAGGTTAGAAGGTTTTGATTAATTTTTTTCAGCTCTAGTTATGTGTATTTTTTACATGGACTTTGTGAAAATACAAAGTAGATGGAGTATAGAGATAATATTTTGGTTAGTATATTAATATTTCTGTAGTGACAACAGTTAAGGATTTTGAGGTAAAGTTGCATGCAGCAGTATAAAATCTAAATAATAATTTACCTTAAACCAGCACTGTTTCCTCTCATTAAATAGCCTAATTATAGGCTAATTATAATTAGATTTTTGTCCTTAAAATTCTGTGTTTAGGGAGGCCGTGCTAATTCTCTTTGCAGAGACATTCTGTGATGAAATCTCCCAAGTCTTGAAACATCTAAACTATCAAAAACTATTTTTTTCATCTTGTAATTGTCGATGGGTGGTGGCTAATGGATGGAATTGACAGAAAAAAATTCATTGAGAACTTCAGATGTATATTGAAGTCATAAAAACAGTAACAAAAGACTCAGTATTTTTGTAATGCCTAGTGATGTGAAACTTGAAGTGATTTAACAATCAAATTAGTGTAGTCTTCTGTGTATGTGAGAAAACACTTAGATTTGAGCTAGGATGTAATTTAATCATAAGCTGAGTTCATGATTTCACTGATGTCCCTTTATAAATTAGAAACCAAATGTTATATTGCACCTTGGCTTGAATTCTGTTTCTAATTTCTGTAGTGAATGTATTTTCAGTAACTTTTATATGCTCTTTGCTTTTCGTATTTGTCACATGACAAATCTGAACATTGATTAATGGCAAATGAAAAACAGCAGTGACACTGTCTGTGTAAAAAGCTGTCAGATGTACAAAGAAGAATAGTAAAACCACCTTTCGTTAAATTTCTTTCCCTTCTTTGTTTTTTGTAGTGTTAGAGGTAATTGTGGATTAAAACCCCCCACTGTATTGTAATAAAAAATATTATTGTAAGTATTATAAATAATATTATCTTGATATATTAATGTTTTTTCAGGATTTTTTTTTCATCAAGGCAAACAAGTTGTTACTAGTGGTGCCACTACCTCTTACCTTTGATTTTTATGAAAAGTTTTGCGTCTGTGCACCTAGATGAGAGCTTTAGTATTCTTAGACATACAGTATGGGTTCTAGGAGGCTTCTTAGTCCTATTTCCTTTCTTCTCCCTTCTTAAAAAAGGTTAAATGTCTTGCAGAGGTGAGCTACCAGTGTAGCAAATGACTGTACCTTTCACAGTACATCAAGTACTGCTTGATTTCTTCTGGCTTGAAAAATATGCTTCATGATTAGTAAAAATAAAGGTAAGTTCAAGTTCTCTGATTAGATTTATGTTGTTACTTTCTGTTTCAGTGTGAGTACTGGGAACTCAGTTTCTAAATCTCTAAAAGAACATACAAATGAAAGTAGGTAAATGTTGAAAAAAATATTTTTCCTGCCTTCTTAGGGGTAAAAATTTAAAAGAAACAAAAAGAAACTTACATGTAAAATGCATTGGAAGAATTTTTCTGGACTCTTGACACTTAAGGGATGATTGATAGCTGGGATTATGAAACCTTGTTGGAGTCATCTGGACAGTTTGGCTACACTTCCAAGTTCTTATTTTTCAAGTGTGCTTTCTGTCTAGGTGATCTGTCATCTGCTTATTTCCTGAGTCTGTTGTATATAGAGTTCGATGGTCCTACAAGAAGAAAGTAGGAGGAGAAAGATAATGCTGATAAGCAGGCCTGGAGTTCTCTCTGCCAGCATCTGAGCATGGCAAGTGGGTTTCATTTTGAATGTTTGGATCCTGTATGATTAGGTTCAAAACTACTGATGTAGCTTCAGGTGATTATAATTTACCTTCTGATTCAAGAGCTGAGCCCTCTGTATTTGGGTTTTTTCCTCCTCTGTGTACCAGTGAAAAGGTTTTCTCTTGTGATGTGACACAGTTGATCATAGAAGGACGTGGCAGAAAGGAATCATGTGGTCTTTGTTTAGACCACAGATTAATGTTGTGTAAGTGGAATACCTCAGGGATAATATATGTTATTTTCTGTTGTTTAATGCATAAATTATGTTCTCTGTACAAAGCCACAGAGATTAATATTTTGGAATGTATTGTGCTCTTCTGTTGTGAGAGCACAATTAATTTTTAAAAAAGAGTTATGGTATCATAAAATGGATCATGAGAAGTATGGTGAGGCTTCAGATATTTTAGACTTGATGCAGCTGTTAAGTCAAGAAGCCCCTTTGTATTCTCTAGAGAGAAAACATGCCATAGGAAGTGTAAACCAATGTGAATGAATGGTGAAGTGTGATGGGTTTCAGGCAGGAGGTTGATCTTGCACAAAATAAATGGTTTAACCACACTGAACAGAAAGCTTTTTGGGGTATAAGATGAAAATGGTACTGTTAGGGTGAGATAAACTTTTACTGCAATTAAATAAAAGCAAAATTAATTTGAATAAGGAATATTTTTTTCATATAATAAAACTGTACTGGTAGGGTGATAATGAGAAAATTTGGTGACTCTAAGAAATTGTCAAAGTTCTTTCAAAGCTAGAGTGTATTATCACTAAAAGAATAGAGTGGACCAGAACAAAATGGGAGGACCTCTACTCTTGTTAATTAAGGTACAGTAGATAAGTTACTTTGCCCAGTAAAGAGCTGATCAATGAACTTTGGCCCAGCAGTTTTTATATTGTGGCTTTTAACTATATGACCCTGAAATTACCTGGACAAACCAGTGTGGTGTTCCTAACATTCAAATTCATGTACTGTTGAAGAAAGACTTTTTTTAAACAGTAAATTGTGTGTAAACTGCTTGGATTGTAGGAAGACTTCTTTTGTAGCACCCTTCTTTCTACTCCTGGCCAACTATTTAAATGGATGCACCTATGAAAACAGTTTCTTAAAGGCCATGGATGACGGATTGTCAGAGTTCTGAAAGAATAACTACTTGAAATAGATGGGTACTTGCAGAAATTGGAAAGTACCAAATTATGACAGCAGATAGTATTTTATGACTCATCTAAAATATCAAGCTTCAAAGGATAAACAGTCACTTTTAAGATAGATAAAGTTCCCCAGTGGTTGTGTTATTTTCTTTCTGAAGTTATAAAAATACTGGAAGTATTTTAGTATGTATGTCATGACAGTGCTTCTGGTTCTGACTTGACTGAAAATAATTGTTTTCTGTCATCCTCAATTTGATATCACTGTGGTGTTCATAAATGGATGGCCTATATATAAGGTCACAGTTCTGTGTAATAAGTGGGTGTAGTGTAATTAATTTATCCTAGATCCCCTCCACCCCCATTAGAGGCATTTGTTGGGGATGGCTACTCACAAATAACGAGCAATATTCGTTTGAATTAATTGCCTGTGTAGGTATTGCGAGCAGGTGACTGCCTCCGTTCTTCCATACTTAACTGTAGGTAAAGGAAAAGCATTGAAGGGTTTTGTGTGTGTGATGAAGGGTGGTAAAAAATAATGAAGTAGTATTACCATCACGTTCTGCTTCCTTTTAGATGAAACAACTGTTTAATGCTATTTAGCAAAATAAATTCTGATTCCTCAAGTTTCTGCCTTTATTTTGTTTAGGTCAGGCTATTAGAATTTTTGAGTGAATTCTGACAAAGGTCAGAATAGCCTGCCATAGGGTAAAAAGTTAGTCTTGGCTGTGTTCCCCCTCTTTTTTTTACAAGAATGGTGATGTATTTGCTTTGTCAGAGATTGTCATTAATTGGGCCATGCATTAGCAATTAATTCCCAATCTATACATTGCTCTAAAAATATGCATAGCTCTTCTTTTTCTGTATTAGTTCTAGGAAAGATGTCAAATTTCACTTGATTCTCAGATTTGGTAACCAGATCTCTTCTTTCTGCATTGACAGTGGAGGTCACTTGAATATATGATTGGGTAACTTCAGTTGTTTTTAGGTAAGTTCGGAGATGCCACAGCCCATGAGACAGCTGTCTAAGCATGTTCTTTCTTCCATCGGTCTCCTGGGCATTTTTGCCTACATTAATTTTCAGTTGTTACTCTACCTGGCCAAAAGTGTCTAAAGAAAATGCTATTAAAAAGATGACACCACCACCAAAAGCAATTTTAAGTGCAAGAAACATCTTAAGTGATGATCTTGATCCCAGGCAGTGATGTCCAATATGTCTTTTGGACCTACTTTGAAACACTAAAGCTGGGGTTTTTTGGAATTACCTGATAAGAGGTATAAAATTAAAAACTGCCTTATGTTAATGCTTTGTTAGCATAGGTCACTCTGCAGATAGTAATGGAACAGCCCTTAACCGTGGGATAGCTGATATACCTGGACTTAAAAAATGGTATGGTTTCCTTTCAGTTATTGGGTATATTTTTTACTCTTTTTTAGAAGAAGAGAACTGTTTCCTGTAGGTTGTAGATATGGCTGTTCAGAGTCCCACCCTACAAGTAGAGGAGCCTATATGGTGGCAGAATGAGTGCTCGTGAAAACTGTTGGGAGGGGCTTGGGGTTTTTTCATGCCTGCTATGAAAGATACTCAGTACCTACTTTTGGTTTAATGGGGTTTTCTTTCTGCTTATTCATTAAAATAATATGTTTTTTCTTAATTTTATGCATAGCTAGTGATCTGTGGTATTTAGTAAGAAAATGCTCAGTGTTTAAATGAGGAAAGCAAAATATTCCTATGGTTGGCCTGCCTGCTTTCCAGTTCGTTGTTTGGTGTCTCATGTAATAGGACCAAAACACAACTTTTTCTGTCTAGAAGGAGAATGAACTGTAGGTTTAGGCACTTCAAACATCGCTGCATGTTCTTATGTTAATTGCCAAACTTTGGTAGGATTACAGAATTTAGGAGGTAAGATGAAGACTTGCTGCCATCTCATACTTTAGAGATACCTTGTACATGCCACTTCATCATCCTGAAGAAATCAAATGTACTTCCACAATGCTTGTCTGAAGTTCATTTTACACTGGGGGCTTGTTAGTTTTTTTCTAGTGTTTGGCAAGGATAAGCATGTTAAAATATGTTGATCTCAAAACTATTAGACTTTTGTAGACTTCGTGGTATGAGTGTATTTAGTAGGCACTGTATGTGCTTCATTGCAAGTGAATGGTTTGTGTTCTTGCAATTTGACGTCTTGGAAGGAGTTTACATTTGCTCCTTATGTAAGTACTGAAGTTATTGGGCTATTTTACTTCAATTACCTAGTCACTTGTGGAAAACCTTGTCTATATTAGTGTGTAAAAGTGCATTAGTTTACTAATCTGTGAATAGCTGAGGTGCTGTTTACATCTCCTGTACTTGGCGGGGTGTTCTGCCCTGTGCACTAAGAGAAGTGGGAGGCTGGTATTAGCTGGAAATCATTGTGCTCGTGCAAGTCAAGAAGATTGTAGCTTTGCTCTACAATTAAAAACTGCTACTGATTCTTTTTATTTTACTACTTAAAAAATAACTTCTAAAAGTGACACCAAAAGTGTGACATCTTCTAGTGGCAATCTATTAAAATAAGATGGAAAATTTTTCATTATTGTGAATCATTAGAATGATTTTGCTTTAAAAAATACTGAATGGAAGTTAAGACATTTAGCAGTTGGGGTTTTTTTAAAGTACAAAATAAAAGTGAACAGTGCTAAGACCTGCTTGAAAAATTCTGTAACCAGGTTTTTGTTGAAAGGTGTTTAGCAGCTGGGCTTTGACAGCATAGGGTAGTAAGCAGATGTACTTCATGTTTGGTAAATCTGCCATTAAAGCGAGTCTCTGTCATCTCCCTGAATATGCTGGGGGTTTTAATCACAAATTTGAATGATAATATTTTTTGTCAGTTTGTAATATTTTTAAGTTCAGACAGTAAGATTGTCACAGTCTTAAAAGAAGTGTATTGGAAGTTAACTTTTAAAGATGATTGAAATTCAATGTTTTCCTCTCCTTTTGCTTGTGTAAAATAAAACTAATGAAATAAGTGTGACAGATATAGGTGATAAATTCTTTATTAAAATCAATGTGATGTAAAATTGCCTGGTTTTAAAATAAACTGACTCATTCTCCTGCATGTTTTGTTTTGTTTTTACCAGGGTTTGTGGATGCACTTAGATGTTTGCAATGAGCACTGTGGCTGGCATGCCCCAGTGTTTTGGATACCAATGCATAGGACTCCGTAGTAATCGAATTTATCAGAAACGAACGTCATGAGCATAGTGATCCCATTGGGGGTTGACACAGCAGATACTTCTTATTTGGAAATGGCTGCAGGCTCAGAGTAAGTATGTGAACATGATTTGTAAGCGTTCTTACTTATTTTTAAATTATTTTTATCTTTTCCTTCATGAGTATTTTTTGAATACAGTTGGAAAGAACCTAAGAATCTCCTTAGTTTTGTTGAATCTTTAATTACTTAAATTAATAACTGTCACTTTATTCCTAAGTTAGTTTCTTCCTCTTCAGGGGGAGCAAAGCAAAGAAGCTAAACTTTACTGCAGATGCATATTTTTCTTGGTCATCAGACTGAGAAATAAAGATGCTGCTTGTTTTGTTTTTCATGCTTAAAATACTTGCCATTTCAGTTTCCTTTTTAACTGTGTAAAAATATTTTTGGCTTTGCATGTTAGAAAGGTAAATTAATGTTGTGTGTTAAACTGCAAAACAGTGGTAGTAATTGAGACAAGGGTGCCTTTATTTATGAAAATTGAAGGCCTAGCTTAATTAGTTAATACCATGTCTTCACGAAGTTATTTCTAATTGGAAACCAATTGAAATTCATTCGCTACTCATTCATTTACTTAGTAAGTGTGTATAAAGGGTTACAAAGAGCCAGTGAAATCCTGAATTCAATAAACTCTGCTTTGCGTGAAATAAATGGAGTGAATTTCTGTGTTTTGGGGGATTGGGAGGACTCGTGGATTTTTCTGTTTGTTTTGTGGGAGGGTTTTTTGTGTTGTAGTGGTTTCCCCCCCCCCTCCACTTGTATTGATGGATCAGAGTTTAGGTACTGATGGGCTACAGTTTAGGTATTGTTGATCACTGACTGTTGCTTTTGCATTAGTAGAGTGCATGACTGGCAAGTTTTTTTGGGGAAGAGAGATGGGTGTCAAAAGATACTAAGGATCAGGATAGTTTATGTAAGCCACAGACAATCTCATATAACTTCTTTGCATATACATATGAAAAAACCAACATGAGTTTCTTAGCAGAAATGTGAATTTCATCATTTATATTGAATTGGGTTTTGGTTTGGTTTTTTTGAACCACTTGAGATGGTGTTACTCTTATCCTTCCTCTGAGCCTTTATGTAGTAATGTCCCTATCTTTGGTTGCCACAAACATATATTTGCTTGTATTAGATACTGAAAAAATGGATTAGACTTTTAGTTTACATACGTGCTTGAGATTTTTTTATAAATATAAAACATTTGAATAGATGTATTGGATAACAAATTTCAATAGCTTGCACGGAGTCTTTGCTTGAGAACGTGCGCTAAGCACTATTAATCTGTTTAAGAAGTGTTTTTCTTCCAAACTTTGAAGAAAAGTTTGAACAGAACTCCTGAACAACTTTTAAAAGGAATGTTTCACTCCTGTGTTTCCAGTTATATATAAGGCTATCCTAAGTTTACACCATTTCTCTGAAGAGAACCAAGAATTTGCAGTTCAGTGTTTTGTCGCATTAAATGTTTAATGTTTTGTTTCTCTCTTCATATAATGAATACTAATTACCTTGTTGCAGAAGATTTTTTAACTTTAGTGAACTGTTCACAGCTCTTTTCATTATCTTTTCCTGTACTTTTATGTTTAGAGAAGGTCATGATTCCTGAGGTTGCTAACATTCTTTGCAGACACAGCATGCCATGCTGAAATTAAAATAAATAAATGTAGTTGTCAGTATAAACAAGATAGAGTTCATAGTGTGTTATTTGCTTGATACCGTGGCAGAGCGACCCAGTTGGGAACTACTTTTCTTCAGATGTTAAGTGACTGTTACCAGTTAGATTAATTCTTATCATCTCTGCTGTACTTACACCGAAATATGTGTAGTAGTTGTATGATTGGCTTACGCTGATTCAGAAGCCGTGTCAGTGTCTAAAGAAGTGTGACATGAAGGTGTGTCCCTAACCTACCAGCTTACACTGTTGTAAACCTTTTTTATCACCATCTATATGACTTATATCTCTTTTTTTTTTTGGTACATTTTCTTCCAGAGAGTAGCATGTTGGATATAGATTGTATTAATAACAGTCATAGATGGTCTTTGAGCAAGTTCTAGGGTTTTCCCAAGAGGGAAGAGTTGGAATTTCTCCACTGTGACTGGCAGGTCTGATATTGCTTCATCAGTTGCTGAAGCATGAGCAAACTCAAGAATGGGGGAGTGGCAAACCCGATTATGCAGGAGAAGGAGCCCAGGAAAATGCTCTTTGTTTAGTACTGTTTCTGCTAAAAGATTCTACCCTATGCTTTGAACCAAGGCATAAGCCTCTTAAAAAAGTGGATAGTTTTTGTGACTAATAGTTTCACATATTATTTTAATAATTGTATCAAGTAGATATGTGTAGAATAACTTATTAAAAGGTTTAAACATCTTAAAAATTGGATGAAATACTCTTGTTTCTTATGTGTACTTAAGTGGGATCTCCAGATAGATGTTCATAATACCACAGTTGTCAGAACACACATATTTTGCTTTAATTTGTAGATCTTACTGAAGATGAATATGTGTGACTACTTAACTGGTAAGGACCAATAGCAGAACCAGACATTTTGGAAAGTTCAAAATATGCTTCCTGACTGCAGAGAGTACTCATGCTTAGAGCATGAGTATAAACTACGCATTGGGAAATGCCATTGATGGTACTGTTTTTCTGGTTTTAATATCTGTATATGTTTTTTAGAGAGAAGGCCTGTATAATAAACCTCACAGTCACAGTATACAGATCACTGTGTTGAGTTCAGTATCCCTACAAAAAAATTATGAGCATTGTTGTAGTCTTACGTACAGACGATATCGGGCCAGCCTGTACTTGCAGAGCCTGCTACAAGGTGCTTAGGTAGCAGAACCAACTCCCTGGTAGAGAAGCGGTGCTTGTTTCTTTGTTGTCTAGGTGTTGAATCCTGACAGATGTGTTTGGTTAGATGAAGTGTCATACAAAATATATTGTATTCCTTTATCTAAGATGACCTTCAGGCAGATACTGCTCAAGTGTGCTGGTACAAGTGGAAAGCAAACCTGAACTTGAAAATCAGACCTGTCAACTGGCATGTGGCAGATTGATGTTGCTGAAGCATGTGTGAAAGCAGAAGGTTCCATGAGTTTTGACACATTTTCAGAAAGTACTGTTAGTTAAGTGTTCATAGCCTAAAGCTTGGATACCCACTTGGCTTTGAATATTTGAGTTCTTAGTGAGATTTTCAACACATACATTTTTATAGAAGTCGTTAATAGCCCCAAATTCTAAGGACTGATTGTATATTGAGTATTAGTCAAAAACGGCACACTTTTTTTTTTTTTTAAATTATTAAATGGTCAGAAACAAAGCAGTAATTAAAAGGAATGGGGTGGGGGAGGTCACGTTTTAGGGAAGAATTACTTCTAATCGTTAACAGTTGATTCCCTTAATATAGGTTAAGTATAAGCTTGTAGGGACTGTTTTGGTAAACTGCTCTCATGTTGCTTTTAATTTCTCACTAATGCCATCTGCTGGCAACATGCAGAAATGACCCAGAACATGAGTTGTTTCACTTGCAGAATGAAAATTCTGTGAAGTTTTGTTTCTTGGATTTTTTAAAATACAGACATCTCTCCTTTTTTAATTGATTTGATAAAATACTATGTTCCTGTTTTCAGGTTACAGGAATCTCTTAAATCATTGCAGCCTAGGAGCATTTTATTTTGTTCCTTCTGAATATTTTGCACAGTTTTGAATTGCTAACCACAGCTCTTAACATGATATTTTAGCAAAATATGAGGGTCAGTTTATTACAGTAATGATTGTTTATTTTAGGAAATAATATTAGTATTTTGGTCAAACTTCAGATATATTGTAATGCAGACACTTCAGTTTTGATGAATACCAAAAATAACACAAATATCTGCCTTAATTAGACACTGAGACTGTAGTTGTTTGAGGTGAAGCTGAAAAATGTGGTATGATCAGAAGGCTGACAGGCTTAGTACCTCAGTCTGTTACAGTACTGGCTTATGTCCAAAAATGCAAGCAAGGAAAACCTTGTAGTGTTCTCACAGATCTGAATGCTTACACTTCTCTTCCTGAAACCTTGCTTTTTGGGATATCTGTAAGAACACTAATGGTGAGATTGGGGGGGGGGGTGTATAATACGGTGGTTTTGCCTTGCTACCTGGGCCCTGCTGCTTGAGCCCCCCAAAAATTTAAAACCTGATTTTTAAATTGTCATCTCGTGCTTTAATCATCTGTACAATTAAATGTTTTACCAAGAGGTACTCCTTTACTGAATGTCCAATTCTGAGATGCCCCTTTCAGAAGAAGGGTTTGACCTTTGAACAAACAATAATATAGAATCTGTGTTTTCTGTTTTAAGGTCGTGCACATGGTGGGCATGACAGGGGTGATAAGGAATTTGGTGACCTGTCTGCCAAAGTTACTTCTGTGTGTGGTTCTCTGGAGAAACGATACTCATCCTGTGCTGCTTATGGGATCCTTATCACTTTTCTATTGACTGTAAAGGAAACCTGTGATGGTTAATTTTTGGCTTCAGTGAATGCTCTACCACCTCCTTTCCCACCCCAGTGCAGTGTAGTGGAACAGTAGCAGTTATGTTCAGAGCTCTAGTGAGCATCTGTTATAAATTAAAGTAGTATCTGTGCCCCGCAGATAAGCCGATTCTGCTCTAAGTTTGTTACAACTCTTTTAATGAAATACTGAAATGCCTTTCTATATCACCTGATTTTTCTCCCACCATTTTCCTGATTCTACTTGTTCAAGTAAAGCTGTGCTTTTTCCTTATTAACCTTGTGATCTGAATCTGTTTTATGAGTATTTAAATAGTTGAAGATAGATATATGTATTTTGGTTTTGGAAGCCTAATGCTTCTGCTACCCACAACTCTTATGCCTCTAAATATTAAACTTTGTTCTCTTAAGTGGTTTATAAATTGCTAGAGTAGGTAGAAGTGGATTTAGGGAGGAGGCTGTACTGTCTTGCCTCAGATTTTGCAAGAGATTTAGAGTATCTTTTCAATTTTTTTAGATAGCAGATGAAATACATGACCTCTCTTTTTAGGACACTTCCATTCTGGCATCTTTCACTGCATATTCCTGTGTTAAAGTAGCTGCTATTTAGGTCATAGTAATACTTATTTTTAATGAAGGAAGTTCTCCTAAATTAGTTGTGGCGTTGCTGAAGGGTGGATTGTACCAGAATTCCCCCTGCCTGTCCTGTATCAGTAAGCCCTCCTACTCTGAAAACTGAGTTTATCCCAGCAAGACCAAGGCTGAGCATTGAAGGCAGAGTGGGTAAGAGTAACTTTGCTACCACTCGTCCCATTCAGGAGATGGTGAAGAACAGCAGTAGAAGCAATGCAGTGGTCAAGGCCCTCATGTACTGGAGAAAGAGAACTTGATTTCTGACTTAACCATGGTGGAGGGTAGCTAATGCCTCATTCATTGGCATTTTGTTTGGCTTGATCATCAGAAGGATTAAGTGGGTGACAGAAGAGATGTATGATTACCACACAACTGTGTTATGTTGGTGAAGGCAAATTGGTTGGAAAGGTGCAGCTTTTTCATCTTTTGTGGTTTTCTGTAGTAATGGGTTTGATAAACCTGGCAAGTTCTGAGCTGCTTCTAGAAGCTAATTCCAGCAAACTCCGAATAAATTCATATTTTCAAGTTGTGAAGTGGTTTAGGAAAGTAAATGAGAATTTTTGGGGGTTTATGAGGTAACAAAGAGCAAGTGTTGTCAGAGTTAGTCTCATGCTAGTCAGAAGTTGTATTTTTAATGTTAGTACTTGATATTATTTGTGTGCTCACGCGCGTGCTCACGCGTTTGCTCACTCTCTACAAAAGGCAGCTGATGACTGTTGGAGACATTGATCTTTTAAAAAAGGTTTTTTTCTTTGGAATCTAGAAACTGAAGTCTTTACCTGATAGTGCTTTTAAATAGAGTTTCTTTTTAAACAATTCTGTCATGTAGTAATCTCACATGGAGAAAAGCTCATAAGAAGAAAGGGCCTACCAAAACCTTTAGTAGAACACTTTCAAATAGATGTCAAAATACTGTATTTTGTTTTTGAGAAAGCTAATAATTAATTATATTTTTACAAAACATATTACCAACAAATATAGGTTGCTAGTGTCCTTCAAATCAAGCTAGTATAGCTTCATGGCATAAAAAAGCCTCTATTGAATATTTTAATGTCTAAGAAAAAAAATATCAATCTCTATTCCTTTTCAGAAATACCGAATTTGTTTTCAAAATCAGCTCAAGGAATTAGTAAGATACATGTGATGGGAAATAGACTTCACTTGTAATAAAAATAAAATAAGAAAAGTGAACCAGGCCTGATTTGTGATGGGAGTCAAAGCCACCTTAGTTTTAGATGTTTGTATTTTGCTGTGCCTTTCAGTGTAAAAAAAAAAAAAAAAAGGCACTTTAGGTAACTTGGATTCATTTGTCCTGCTGTGATTGAATTGTATGGTGCAGTGAAAAAGCTTCAGGTTCTCTCAGTCGTGAGAGTATCCTTGCATGCACTCATGAATATAACTGCTGAAGAAAGGTAATGAAGTTATAATTTTTTGTGCTCAAATTGTGTTTGATCCTGTTTTAGTATTCCTTTATCTTTCTTGTCTTTCATGTTGTGGTTTAGTGCTTATGACGCATAGTTTGTATATTGAAGAAGGCCCTGCCTTTGATTACAAAACCTTCTCTCACAAATTGTTAGCACTTTTTTTCTTTCTATTTAAAGATAAATCGATAGAAACTACCTTGTTTAGATAGATTTGCCCTAGTTAGGATTTCTGCTTGTGGAAACAGTAGGTGCGGGTGGTGCCCTGTCACTGCCGCTGTGTGTCACTGCAGGGCTCTATCCATGAGCAGTGCTTGGAATTACAGCTTCAGTCCTCGGTCACAATTCCTTTCTGCAGATTCTGTTACTGCTCAGTGTGTTTTGGTTTTTTTTTTTTCTGTTACCACTCTTGGTTTTTTTGGTTGTTGTGGTTTTTTTGTTTGTTTTTTTTGAGTGAAGGGTTCAAGTTTTTTCCTGCCCCTCTATGCGCCTTTAAACAGAATCATCTGGGAATTAATTAGAAGTTGTGCAGCAGATACTTCCAATTTATTAATATAAATTACATCCTAATTGCATTTGTTCTTCATCTGTCTTTTGCCTTGCAGACCAGAATCTGTAGAAGCTAGCCCTGTGGTAGTTGAAAAATCGAACAGTTATCCGCACCAGTTGTATACCAGCAGCTCGCATTCACACAGTTACATTGGTTTGCCCTATGCAGTAAGTTTTGTGCTAAGTATTCTGTACAAAATATATTACGTAAAATCTGCTGTTCTTAGCTGGAAAAACTGATTCATGCTTATATTTCTGTATCTTATTGGGAGCTGGGTAGGTTGACTAAAGATGGTTGATTAGCAGTAGAATACAGAACATAGCACACTTACATGTTAAACATAGCTAAGAAGTTAGAAAATAAGATTGAATAATGATAGGAATAAAATTTTAACCTTTCACTAAAAAGTAACTCTCTGAAGTTTTTTGCCAAGTGAATTCATACACTTGGGCTTGAATAACCATCAGTGTATGAGTATTTATGAGTTGTTATAACTTATCTTTTAACAAAAATCTAGGACCATAACTATGGTGCTCGGCCTCCTCCAACGCCTCCAGCTTCTCCTCCTCCATCAGTGCTTATAAGCAAGAATGAAGTAGGCATATTTACCACTCCCAACTTTGATGAAACCTCCAGTGCTACTACCATCAGTACGTCAGAGGATGGAAGCTATGGAACTGATATTACCAGATGCATTTGTGGCTTTACACATGATGATGGATATATGATCTGTTGTGACAAATGCAGGTAATGAATATTAAAATAATTTAAAAGGTAAAAATTACTTAAAACTTCAAGCTGCGCTGAAGGAAGTGTAACTAAATGATGTTTTAATTATGTCCAGGGACAGGGAATTTCCTTCCATCAGAAAAGAGTTTGTAGGTTATGTGGTTTTCTAATAGGTAAGATAGCTGATTAAGGCCAGTGAGTATTTTATACTTTATTCCAGTCCGTCTTGACTACTCCTTCTTTTGTTCATGCCTTTACTTGTGCACTACAGCTTAATAAGGGCATGTCTTTTTTTCCCTTTGAAAAGGATGTCTCTCTGGTATTTTGTCCAAGTTGTTTGTTATTATGATAAAGACCTAGGGATCACTTCATCTGCGTGTACTAGTAAAGCATCTTGGTGAATTATGTATGTGTAAATCAGGTAACTTGAAGGATGCAAAATAACATGAAAGAAGCTTTTCAAGTATTGATTTCTCTGTGCGTGATTTTTGTGATAAGAACTCTTTAATTTTCAAAGGATATAGTTTTAAGAATTTTTAAGTATGAACAGATTAACCTAGATTCTTACTGGAGAAGCTGAAGTTAAATGTTTAAACTTCTGTCATTATGTGTAAGCACCTATTTGATCATAGTATAATAGAAGAATGCTGTTAAATACTTGGAGTTGGAAAAATTATCAGGAGAAGACAAATCTCATGTTTCTACTAAATATTAGCCTCTGTTTTTACATTCAATATGGTTAATGAATACTGCTGAATTTATTAGATCTTCATGTATTTATGATTGTTACAGCTAATTAAAACACTAATTTGAATTCCATTTTTCTGTCTGCTTATGTAACAAGCTTGTTGGTAATTTCTCATGGTCTTTGATTCTGATAACCTTTGCTCCTTATTTTGAAACATATTAAGGTGTTCTCTCAGCAGTGCAATTGTAGGCAGTCACCAGTTAGTATGCTTCCTTTGAAGAAGCAGTTATCTGTGAGGAGTTGGAAAGAATTGTGGTAAATCCACAACTGGGAAGATAACCATTTTTGTGTCCCTAATCCTTCTAGCAATGCAGGGATGAGCACAAACTACTGGTTTAGGTTAGCCTTCAGCAAGCAGCCTCTCTTCCCTGACTGTGGGAATCAGTTAAAACTCTTTCTGTGCTGCACAACGGTACTACCAGTCGTACCAGGTGTATGTTTTATATATTCTCTTAAAATATGTAAGTAAATAAACCCATATCTTTGTGTTTATTTCTGTATACAAAAAATAAAAGTACATATCTATTCCTAAAAGAAAATTGAATCCTTTTGTTTAAAGACAAAACACTTTTTGCTATGTGGAGCGTAAGTGTTATTGCTGAGGGTATTTGTCTGTCTTATTCTCTATTGTGATAATTTACCATTTTATCTCTGGTGTTAGAGGAAAATTTCCAAGAGAGAAAATGGGTCAGCTGGCAGACTGGTGGCAAAGATGGTGACTGAGATATAGTTTTAGGCAGTATTCAATTTGAGTAAAGATCAGAAATTATGGGGAAAAAATAAAAGAACGGCTTGCTTTCTGCCTCTGTGTGTTGTGCACCTAATTTTAAAAATTGCACTTAAAAGTTGAGGTTTTGTTTTGTTTTTTTTCTAAAAGTGTCTGGCAGCACATTGACTGCATGGGGATTGACAGACAGCATATTCCTGACATATATCTGTGTGAACGTTGTCAACCCAGGTGAGTAGTTTGGTTTATTTTGAATTCTAAATTAAAGTGGATTGAGTAGAGATATGAAAAAGAGTTGTTAGGGAAAACAAAGTTGGTTATTCTAACAACCAGCAGATAAAACAGACCATGTAGCATAGTCCTGGCAATTCTACTTAAAGAGCTACATTTCTGATATAGGCGGTCTTACCAGCCTCCATTCCCTTGTGCACAGGAGTCACTGTTTCACTTCACTAGGCAGCAGGAATAAACCCTTGAAATGCCTATGAAAATAGCGGTGATTCCTGGATCCTTTCTCAGGTGGATTGATACACAGACAGTCCACTCCATATTTCGTTTCATGGCTGTCCTATGTTAAGAACTCTTAACAGCAGTGTTCTCAGGTTATGGCTCTGTTCTAATATGCTGCAGGGATCACTTGGAGGATTTCTTGCTCTGGAACGAGTACTTGCATGTGCTCCCCCTCTCCCCACCACCACCCCCCGTTCTCCCCAACTTGCAGTCATATGACATGGCAAGGAGGGCTTTTTGTTCTGACTCTGGTAGGCAGGTTATACCTGACTGTCATCATAGTTGCTGTCCTATGATGTAGAGTATAAAATGCCACTGTTGCTTATGTTGCAGATTGTTAATTAAACAGCAAAAAAAACACTTCCAGAAAATTTTAAATACCAGGAAATTGTTCTTTTCTTTCTGAGAAGTAGTTTGGACCTTGTCATCGTAGAATATTTGTTCAGTATTGTATTGTGATGATTGTTCTGAAGAATCTGCAGGAAAATGGTGTAATGCCTGCTTATCTGTAATCCCTGGACCAACTGTCAGTCTCTGTTCTGAGCTATCAAATTTTATTTGTTTTCAAGTGATTTGGATACATGTATGTGCCTTCCATCAAAATTGAACGGAACAGTGCACAACTGATGTTTTTCTAAGTATCTGAACATTCAGTTAGTTTACTGTTTATTCTGTAATAGTCATTGGGAAATGGTAAAGATCTGGTTTAATACTTAGATGCACTGATTTATTTTCTGATTTCAGGAGTTTAGATAAAGAAAGGGCAGTGTTGTTGCAACGAAGGAAAAGGGAAAATATGTCAGGTGAGTAAAACTTAAAAGCTTTTTCCTCAGTAAAGCTTATACGTATAAATCAACTGAATATACTTAAGACTATATATATGGTTCCTGCAGCTTTGACAGACTTCAGCATATAAGGTTCAGTAAATCAATGCCTTTTACTTGACTGTATTATTACCAAAATAATATTGTATCAGAATTGTTATAGTTCCACGTGTTTTGTTAATGGCTGTCAGAACTACTTTTTATCGTATTAGTCTGTAGTAATTCAATCTGTTGATCATTCGGGTTTCTTTTGAGGTGAGAGGATTTCTAAGTCTACTTTCTTTTTGAAAAGAAGTTTTAAGAGGAAATCCTAATTCTGATTTGTTGGATGTAGATTGAGGGCATGTTTTGGTGTGTGGTTTTGGGTTTGTTTTGACAATGAGAACAGTTGCTTGGGTAATACGATGTAGGTAATATGATATTTGAGGGTTTATTTGCCTTTGATAACTAGATGAGGCTTGTAGTGCAAGTACCCACTTCAGTCTATGCGTTTTATGAAATTAGCTCTCCTACCCATTCACGCAATTTTAAAACTCATCTAGCCTAACTTGTCAGGAGTTCTGTCCAACCATTACCGAAATGTGTTGTGGAAGTCTTGATTGACCGGTGGTACTTTCAGTCTCTATTACAGAAGTAATAAATTGGGAGGAAGTCATCTTCCTAAACATGTTTTACTTTTAAATCATGTCTCCAAAGTAATGGAGTGTGTTTTAAGATTTTTTTAAAAAAATACCATGTAGGTAAGGTCCTGATGCTGACTTCACGTGCCTTCAGAAAATCTGAAGTATGTGGTCTGGCTAAATTGTGCTTCTTGGTGCAGTTGACACTTCATGTTATCTGGGGTTAAACTGCCTAAAATCTGTTAAAGGCATTAATGTCTTACTCATAAAACTAAATCATTATTTTAATGAAACCAAACTTCTTTTACGAAGTTTTTGTTAACCTACTAGGTCAACAAAATTTAAATTCTAAAATTTTTTTAGAATTTAAAATTATTTTTGCTGACTATTTAAAGAATAGAACAAGTAGGTTTATAATTCATGTGGAGTTAATGCGTTCACTGAGGGGTAGGATAATACTGTGAGGATGAACTTGAGTTTACATACAGGATAGGAGAAGTTGATGATCTGAGCTATTTAAGTCATCTCTTGGGATTTGTAGGCACACTGTCTGATCATTTACAGTAAACTTAAGGGAAGAGAAATTAAAAATCTTAGCAGAAGCTGAGGAGATTGTACCTTTGAAGTTAGTGTTCGACCCTCCTTAATCCTGATGATCAGTCTTTCAAATCTGCCATATGCATTCAATGGGAAAAGAGATTACTAAGTGGTAAATCTAAAGTATCCAGAGTTAAAAATAAAGACAAATACTGGTTCCTCTTTAGTCTAAAACTCAAAGAGCAGTGTTGATTACTGTGATGTATAATACGTAACTTGAATGTGTGTGCTTGCACCTTTAGCTTGGCTAAATGCACTTCATGTTGACTGTTGTAACACAGTTCAGGAGGACTTAGTGATTCTGGGTATGAACTATCACAAGACATCAGTAAAAGGGCCAGTTTTCATAGAGGATTCCAATTAGGAAAAGCAAAAGTGACATCAATTCAGATGCATCTTTTCAATGTTTTAAATATTCAACAGTAGCGGAATGTTTCTTGTAATTTGCTTATTATTAAGTTACAGGTGTTTGATAAAAGGTAAGATTGTGTTATTTGGATGGTTTTTGATGAGTGTGTATATATAGGGCTTTTCATTTAGATATGGGAATTCTTTACAGTACAGTGGGTTTTATTTTAAAGATACCTAAAATATTGCTGGTTTAGCAACAGCAAGTAGTAGATCAGTTGGTTTGCTTCAAGAAAACCTGGCAAAATTTTTCCTGGCAAAATATTTAGCCTGTGGTTGTATGTGGTGATGTTGATTTTGTTGTTCTGGTATAAAAGTATAATTCTGATGCAGCTTACTGTCCATTGGATTGTGTACTGTGGTTCAGTGAAGGGAGCACCTTTGTTAAGCCCCTACCCAGCTGAATACTGGATGTTTTGGATTTGGGTTTTTTTTGTGTTTGGTTAGTTTTTTATTTTTTTGCCTTTTTTGTTTTGTTTTTTGTTGTGTTTGGGTTTTTTTAAGATAAAGTATCTAGATGTGTAACTTATTCAAGGATGTTGCTTCACGCTGCCTGGTCTTGAAATTGTTGCTGTCGAGGTAACTTGCTGCTTATGGGTAAATGAATCTGGGCCCATAATGCTGTGAAATTTGGAGAGTTTGTATCTTGCCTTCCGACACACAAACTCATGATCTTCACTTAGTGTGCTTTACTAAGGCTCTTCAAAGTGAAAGCAGGTTATGTAGGTTAGGAAGGAGTGTCCCAAAACAACTATGTAATTATATGTTCAGTTGAGGTAATTATTCTTTACAGTAAGTTAGAGCACAGTGTAGACAACAATGTTGAAATGTTGCTTCCCTAAGGAAGACAGTGTTTTGTGGGGTTTGGGGCAAGGGGGAGAGGTGTGTGACGGTGACATCATGATTCTGCAGGCATTAGTGTATGGACTACAGACATTGACAATTTCAAGAGGGCTTTGGGTTTCCATTTCTCAGGCTTTGGTTATTCTGCTGTTCATTCATCTTTGGTTAAATATTTCTTCTTTCTATGTACTTTTTAGTCTAGTTTAGAAAATATTCCCAGCAGAAATGTAAACAGATTCAGAAATCATCATCATTTCCTAATTCATAAAACATAATTATGTACCTGACAAATAGTTCAAAAGAACAACCAAGATGGTGAAATAGGATTGTTTACTATGCAGAGAAGAATCTTGTTAAGGAATGTTGTAAGTAAGAAAAATCCAGAGTAACCAATAGCTGGAGTTCTTTATTTAGTAAAGAAGGTTTCAAGAATTAGGACTGTTGAGTGCACTGATTAAGGCAACATCCTTCTGAGCTCAGAAGGAATGTTTTCTCCGCTCTCATATTAAGTATTTGTAAATCTGGCATCTGTGCAGTTTGAGAAAAAGCTTTGCTTAGTGTGAAGTGTATTTATTGAAGGCAGAATATTTGGAAAAGCTGCTAAAATCCAAGAGATCTGTACTGAGCACATATGAACAGCAGTCTCTTATCTGTGTGCACCATCTCTCTTCCAGTCTTTGCCATCCTTCACAGCCTTTCATCTTGACAGAACTAGGGTAATCCTGTTTCGGGTCAGGATATGTGTTTGACATAAATGCTGATGAATGCTAAATTTCAGGCTTTGGCCTTCAGGTCTGTGAGTGCACAGCACAAAGAAAAAATATCTGTCAGTTCGTGTGTCATCATCCGTTTTCTCTTCCCCAAGTAGCAGAATGTTACTGTTAGGGGATTTTGAGTAGAAAGGGCTTTTCGCTAAATTGACATATTTATCCTAAAAAAGCACTTGATACTGCAAATTGCAGCTGAAATAGTTGATTATGACTTACATGTGATTAATTAATAGGGCTTCACAAGAAATGCTTATCAGTCATTAATTTTAATCCCTTCTAGAATACAGTCATCTGAGAGTACAGTCACCTAATGCCGTATTTCAAGTAAAAGCTAAATATAAGTGAACAAGTTAAGAAATATATTTTTTTAACCTTTTTTGTTCTGATTCTAATTTTGCTTATAGGGGAATATGGTAATATAATTCCATTCAAAAAATGGAATCGATCTGGTACCTTTTTCTTACCTGACATTACAAACATCTGTTAATTACCAGCTGCTCATTGGTTCTTCATTTTCATGCTGTTGCAACTGTTGGTCAGCTTTGCATATGAGTGCTTGGAGCATTTGTCAGTATGAATTTTGGGGTTTTGAAGGCAGATGTAGAGTAACTAGTGAATGTTCTTTCTGCAGTACTTGATTATTTACAGAATATTCTTTGTTTCAAAGATGGGGATACCAGCGCAACAGAGAGTGGTGATGAGGTTCCTGTGGAACTGTATACTGCTTTTCAGCATACACCAACGACAATTACTTTAACTGCTACAAGAGTTACAAAAGTCAATGATAAGAAGAGGAAAAAAAGTGGGGAGAAAGAACAGAACATAGCAAAATGTAAAAAAGTAAGTGAATGTAATTTCTTGTATTACTCTGTGTTATAAATTATAACTGTGTGCCATCTCTTACTGAGGGACACTGGTTTTTAAAAATCAGGCTATTTTAACACCTAGTTTTAGCGTGAAATGTATTACTCTTCAGTAAATGTCTTCCCTTGGTGGCCCCCCCCACTTATTTCAAGTTAATATATGTTAGCTACGAAAGTTTAATTTTATAATTGAGGCAGAATCAGGAATTGCATTTACTGGACTATTTGATATAGTTAGAGATGGACAGAAGAGGCTTTGGGATGCCCAAAGAAGAATTCTTTTAAGGTGTTCATTTGTGGTTGTTTTACATTCAGAAATGGTTCCCATCAGTTGTCCTGATGTGACTCCATATCCACTTATTTCAGTTGAAATTGTGTGGAATTGTGTTCTCAAAGTTAGCCAGTAAGCTGCTTTGGTAAACAGGATAATGACATTATATTTTTAGCTACAGGTGTAAACAGTATCACATATGTGAAGACAAAATATATATGAAGAAGTAAAGTACATGGAACCTACTGAATCAAGTTGCTTTTTGTAGTTCTATTTCATTGGCTTGGATGAGAGTTTTGTCTTTTAAATGAAGTCAGAATTAGTTACTGATGTCTTGTAAGAAATTTTTAGTAAAATCTTTCCTCTTCAACAGACAATTCTGAACACAAATTTACTGCCGTGTGTTATTCTGTTACCTCTGATATTTTGGCTTGGATTCTGAAATTCTAGAGAGTCAAGTTGTAATATGGGAGAAGGGTAGAGGTACCTGGACTCTACTGTGCACTTACGTTGAAATGCTGAATTGGTTTTTAAAATGCATTTTGTGAGATGTAACCTCTTACCTTCTTGAGATTTCACCATAGTTTGTTCTGTTGTTTTCATCTCGCATGTTCTACTGAAAAGCTGTTAATTTGTTAATAGATTTTGAATTCCTTAAGAGAGTTTGTATTTCTTCCAGTGAATATATATATCTAATTTTATTCCAGGCATTTCGAGAAGGATCCAGGAAATCTTCACGAGTAAAGGTAATGTGATTTTGTTTGGGTTTTGTGTCAAACCTTAATTGTACATTAGTTAAATAATAAGAAGCATTAAGGGTGTAATTGGGACTATACATTAAGCACTAAAATATTCTCTTCTTGATAACTAATGTACTACATATACATCACAGTGATTTTAAATTATGCATTACATCTTTATGTCCTGGAATTTAACTGAAATAATGCAGTGCAAATTTTTATCCTGAGAATAGGTGGTTTTCAAGAGCTAGGGGATGAATTGGGGCTCATTTGTGCTATATAAGAGAGTAAAGTTTAGTATACACCTCATTCAAACTTAGTAGCTCCAGCTTTTTATAACTCTTAAAAAGCGAAATAATAAGATATCTGTATTGCATTTGAAAGATAAATTAGCATTTCTGCTCTGTCATACCTTCTGTGTATACATCTGATGGGACTCCACTCACTAGTACTTTCACAGTCTGAGGAGTCATGCTGGGAGGTCTGCTTTGTAAGATTTAAGTGTTACAGCAGTCTTTAAATTTTCTGTGAGATAAAAATATGCATGGTGTGAGAACTAGGTATTTGCTGTAGTTTGTGAAAGCTTGGATATATAAAAACAAGTGGGATGCAATTTATACTTCAAATAAAATGCAGCTTCTGAGTAGTGAAGATAGAATTGGGGAAGAAAAATCTCTGTTGTGTGGGATTTTTTTTAATATGGTGCTCCTAAGGTTCCATTGTGGGGTTTTTTCATGGTTTTCTTAGCATCACACCTTTTTTAATGCTGTTTGTGTGTATGGTTTTCTTCATGCACAAAAGAAATGTAAACAGGTAATTTGAATTGCTGAACTACTTGTGTTTTATTAATATTTAATAGTGTCTCTGCTCAGGTGGATAGAAAAGGGAGCGTTGGCTGGCTGCTGCTGTCCATAAGGAGCTTTGGTTGGCTGCAGCCTGGCTGCTACTTGTGAGGTCTGGAGGTACAATGGCACTTTCTTTAAAAGTGAAAGGATCTGAAGCACTGCAGAAGAGAATTGTGTAGTGAGGAGCAGAGAAGGAGGGAAAAATATGTGCAAAGCCTGTAACGTTGAGTCACAACCTTAATGTAGTAGGTGTAGGATTAGTAAAGTTTAGTAAGTTGTGCAGTGGAAGAAAAGATACAGCATGACCCTTGAAGTTAAAAGGGGAAAACCAAGTCTGTGTATTACAGGATAAAAGCTGGAGTTCTGTATATTTGCATATGTTCACAAAAGTTGAGTGGGCGGGGAGATGTGACCCTCCAACTCCCGCACTCATAGATTTGTAATGCAGTGCAGCTGTGGGAGGAAAGAGTGTCACACTCCATTCTCATCCCACTAAAAGCTAGAATCTTTGTTGAGGAGAGAATGTATTCCTGAACTTGGGTGATATTTGTGAAATAAAATTCTTGAACAAATGTAATGTGACTGAATTCAACTTGAATGTTTTTAAGTAATGCAGAGTTTTATACCAGACTTCCTAAAAAAACCAAACCTTAAATCAATTCAGTCAATACCTCTGCCCTTCATTTTGTGTCTACTTGTAGAATTTTTTTTTTCTAATTTTTCTATAACTTGCCTCCTAATATCTGGTCACTTACTTTAATTTTTAGGGTTCAGCTCCAGAGATTGATCCTACTGACACTTCAAACTTTGGATGGGAAAATAAAATCAAGGCATGGATGGATCGTTATGAAGAAGCAAATAATAACCAGTACAGTGAAGGTGTCCAGAGGGAGGCACAAAAAATAGCTCTGAGATTAGGCAATGGAAATGACAAAAAAGAAGTCAGCACCAGCAATTTGATTTTCAAACCTCCAGTAGAGGTAATGAGCGGTGCCTTGTTGTGTTATTACGTGCTCTGTTTGCCATGACAAAAAATATTCATATAGATGCCTTTTAAAAAAACAAGTAAAAACCTCCAGAGACTTAACATCAGAATTTTAACATTTTTCAGAATTTGAAATTTATTTTTATACATTCTGTATCATCCCTGGTTATGTTTATATTTGCATATCATTTATCCTAAAAAGTAGCTAAGGTGTTAGTCAGAACCTGAACATTGGATTGTCCGTAGACTGTTTTTTGTCAGGCAGTCAACTTTGTTGCTGTTTCTCTGTGAGGAATATCAGGAGTGGTTAAAATAGATAGAAGCACAGAGGCTGAATCCATTTGGTTGTTTTTTTTTTTTCTACTGTGTGTATCAACATCATTGTCTACATTTTTCTTAAGGTGTGGTAAGTGTTCTGAATGTTCATGAATGATATTTCTTATACTGATTTTTTTTTTTACTCACATGATCCTGTGATTTCTGGTTCATGAAGAAAATGTGCAATGTCTTTTTTTAGCCTTACTCTCAGTTACTTGCAGACTTAAAATCAGAGCCATGTAAAAGACCATAGCACTTTGTAGCAGAAATCTTGAGGAATAGTTACTGTAGCAGATTAATGGAAGCATCTTTGCTTCTTTTTCTTGAAGACCATCATGGCATATGGGACACCCTCCTTAGAGGAATATCCCTACTTACAGAGCCTTTTGCCTACATAGAGGCTACTTCCTTTTTGGTTGGTGATGACAGTTATGAGAGGTGTGAGTTCACTAATTGCCAGGGTATGTATTGGTTTTTAATTAAAAGCCGTCCTTCCATCTAAAGACATGCAAATAAATTTGGAAACTCTCTCAGGATTCTTTTATTATGTTACTTTCCTGTTCTGTTTTTCCTTGAATGAATTGTGAACGTCATTTTATGTCTGCATGTTTTGTTTTGTTTGAAGGAATTGGAGCCTTTTGAAAGTGTTGTGCAAAACAATGCAGCAATTCATCCTAGTCATGGTGAGAGTTAAGTGCACTAAGGGATATAGTGCTTGAATTGTGAGAACGTGAATAAGTTGGTTTTCAGCCATGTGCTGGAGAACTAGGGCTGAAGCATTCCTTTAATCTAAATTCGTAACTAGTCACATTGGTAGGGGAACAGGACAGTTTGGTCACTTCAGTCTGGAGGTTTAATTACTAGAAGGGTTTTTAATTCATATAAAATTGCTTAGTAGTTGTGAAAGTGTAATCTGCTGTTAATAATAGTGGAAAAATTATACTGATACTTCATAAATGAATCTATGTCTTTGCAGAGTTACGTGCAAAAAAACAAGAAAATTTTAAAAGCTGCCAAAGACTTGCCTCCCGATGCACTTATTATTGAATACAGAGGAAAGTTCATGCTGAGAGAACAATTTGAAGCTAATGGATATTTCTTTAAAAGGTTTGTTTATTCCAGATGTTTTAGTAAAGTAACTGTTAAAATGGTGTTTTGCCAAACTCTTGCCTCAAGTACAAGTGGGTCTTAGTTATCAGCACTGTCTTGCATTTTACTGTTGTCTGATTAAAAGTAATGGCAGCTGGAATCTGGTCTCCCCCTTTCTCTTCTGAATATCTTTACAGATCTGTTCAGGAGCTAATTTCCTCTTTCTTTGTTCTTCCCTGGTTACAGGATTCCTACATTCTCGGTTGGGTAGTTTTGTACCTTAAACCAGGGGTTGACAGATTCTACCATCCTAAAATAATTCATAAGTTAATGGCAAAGGCGTTGTCTTTTGTGAGAGAAACAGATTTTAAGTCCATCAGGCTGAGAATGAAATTGGACAGTGGTTGACCTGGGGTCACTTTACTGCCAGAGTTCTCTAATTGGTTAAGTTACTGAGCCATGTGTGACTGCTGCCTTCTTCCTGTGGGTTGTTTTCAATGCTGCCACTAATGGACACACCTAGTTGGGAATTTTCAAGAGGCCGATTGGAGGAGATAGAACACATGGCTTTAGCTCAGTGAAGATGGACAGGTTCCCTGGCGCTTGCAATAGCAGAACTTAAACCATGTCCTGGTGAATTATTTGAATGCCCCCTTGCTTCAGGAGGGTTAGGTGCTAGTGGTGCTGTAGGTGTTAGCCAAGCACATGGAGGTGTTACTTTTTTTATGTGGCTCTACATGGTGTATAAATTTCTGAGTTTCATTTCAGGGCCTGTCAGAAGTTTTAAGAAATCTGATAAATCTTAACCTTGTGTCTTCCATGTCTAGTGGTTGACCTGTTACTGTTCTCCCTTTAGATCCTATGCAGAAGGTACTGTAACTCCAACTTGAGGTATTCTGAGAATAAATTTGGAGAATGTACCAGTTAAAATCATGAAGCTTAAATGCAAGCATGTCACTCTTAGATTAACCCACAAATTTGGTGTATTGTGTCAAACAGCATGTTATCGTGTCAAACAACACATGACTAATGTGAAGAATAAGTGCTATTTAGCATCTTTAAAATGATAAAACTACTGGTTTTCTTGTATGTTTTTCAGGCCCTACCCATTTGTTTTATTTTATTCCAAATTCCATGGGCTAGAAATGTGTGTTGATGCAAGGACTTTCGGGAATGAAGCTCGATTTATCAGGCGTTCATGTACGCCAAATGCAGAGGTGAGCATATATATGAAGTTAAATTAGGTTTTATTTACTTAGAAGTCCCTTTTTCCTTTGATAATTTAAGCAATCCCTACAATTGTTATAAACGTGTTAAAAAAAAAAAAGTAACTCATGGTAATATGATATTCCCTTGAATATAGGTGAGGCATGTAATTGAAGATGGAACAATTCATCTTTATATTTACTCCATCCATAACATTCCAAAGGGAGCAGAGATTACTATAGCATTTGATTTTGATTATGGAAATTGGTAAGTATTTGAGAATGATGTTCTAAAATACATCAAATGCTCATTTGGTTACTTTGCAATTCAGAATGGCTTTGGTTTTGTGTCTTTTACTTTCTTGCATGCTCTAATAACACAAGGCTCCTTAGGCACTGTATTTACAGTGAACAGTGTGTGCGTGTGCAGAGTTTCTTCTGTGTTTTTATTACTGCACTTCTGTGGTCTGCTCTTTTAAGCCAACTTGGATGCAGTGCTGTGTAGACTTGCCTTTGCTACCTGACCTGAACTAAGTATGACCATAGAGTACTACCTGTATTAATCAGCTTTGGTTTAGACTGCCTCAGGATACCTGGCACTTATAAGAATTGTTCTACATCCCTCTTTAATATCTTTATCAGTGACATAGACAGTGAGATCAAGTGCACCCTCAGCAAGTTTGCAGATGACTGGAAGCTGAGTGGTGCAGTTGATACAACAGAAGGACAGGATGCCATCCAGGGGGACATGACAGACTTTAGAATTGAAACCACATGAACCTCCTGCAAGTCTCCCTGCGCCTGGATTGGGGCAGTCCCAGTACAGACTGGGAGAAGAACTCGTTGAGAGCAGTCCTGCAGAGAAGGACTTGTAGGTTCTCATGGGTGAAAAGCTGGACATGAGCCAGCAGCATGTGCCTGCAGCCCAGAAAGCCAACCACAACCTGGGCAGCATCAAAAGCAGTGTGACCAGCAGGTTGAGAGAAGTGATTCTCCCCTTCTACTGTGTTTTTGAGATCCTGGAGTACTGCATCCAGGTCGAGAGTCCTTGGTACAAGAAAGTCGTGGACCTGTTAGAGCAGATCCAGAGGAGGGCCACAAAGATGGTCAGAGGTCTGAGCACCTCTGAAGACAAGGCTGAGAGAGCTGGGGTTGTTCAGCCTGGAGAAGCGAAGTATCAGGGGAGACCTCATTGTGGCATTCCACTTCTTAAAGGGGGCTTAAAAAAAAAAAAGAGGGGGAGAGGGACTTCTTACATGAGCAGATAGTGATAGGACAGGGGAGAATAGTTTTCAACTAAAAGATAATATAATGATAGAATGGTTTGGGTCAGAAAGGATCTTAAAAGATCATCCAGTTCCAGTCCTGCTGTCTTGGACACCTCCCACTAGACCGAGTTACTCAGAGCCCCATCCAGCCTGGCCTTGAATGCTTCCTGGGATGGGGAATCCACAGCCTCTCTGGGCAGTATGTTCTGGTGCCTCACCACCCTCACAGCAAAGAATTTCTTCCTAATATCTAATCTAAACTAAAAAAATTAGAGAAGTGTTCAGGGCCCAGTTGGATGGGGTCCTGAGCGAGTGGCATCTCTGTCCATGGCAGGGGGTTTGGAAACAGATAATCTCTAAGGTCCCTTCCAAAATGAACATTTGGATGACTCTGTGATCCCTCATGTGAAGAGAACCTGAGAAATTGCTGGTTGATAGTTTTTTGGGTTTTGTTATTTATCCTTTTAAAAATAGTTGTGTTTAGTACCTACAGCTGACAGCTCTGTCAGTTGAATGTGTACGAATAACATTTCCTATGTATCCAAGTGCAGCTTAAAATTGTGCAAGTGACTCTTGAGTTCAATGTGCTCGTTCTGTAAATTGTGTCTGTCTTGGCATAAAGAAGAAACTCTGCCTTTCATGCATCTGTTTATTTTGTGGTGGTTGTATTTCCACCTAGTATTATACTCAGATTTTAGATGTCTTCTGTCTTTCAAGCAAATACTAACCTGAATTTAAAAGAATTCTGTGTGGCAGCCAACCAGTTAACCAGTAGATGGGATTTTTGAGTTAGAGCAGTATTGTATATCATGGTGAAAACTTGAGTCACCTGCTTTTTAATGTGGTTGGTTTACATGACAGCAGATGTCTATGTGAAATACATTAACTTATGTGATTTAGTATTGAAAGCTCTCGTTGCTGTACAGCCTAATCAAATACACCTTCTTGCATTTAATTACTTGCAGTAAATACAAAGTGGATTGTGCTTGCCTCAAAGAAAATCCTGAATGTCCAGTTCTCAGACGTTCTGAGCCTACAGAAAACATCAATACTGGATATGAAACCAGAAGGAAAAAGGGAAAGAAGGAGAAAGATGTTTCAAGAGAAAAGGAGACTCAAAATCAGAACATCACACTGGACTGTGAAGGAGCAGCCACCAAAATGAAAATCACAGATAATAAGCAGAGAAAGCTCTCTCCCCTCAGGCTGTCCATTTCTAATAATCAGGTATTGACGCAAAGATGCTCAGAAATAAAAGCTTTTAAACACAGATACTCTCCTTTTGTAGCTACTAAAGGAATTTTAATAAGTCACTGAAAAGCGATATGGAGATCTATCAAAAATCAGAATGGTGGATAAGCTATTCAGAATTTTGTATACTATTCTCAGTTTTCCTTAATATTTGATTGTATTTAAAAATATGTTGGTTCCCATACCACTTTTAACTATACTTTTTTCCTCTGAATTTCTTTGTGGCTCTCTAATGTGAATGCCTCATGTCGTGCTTTCAGGAGCTCATTTCATCCTGAAGTGCCTTTTGATTAGTTGCCTCTGTTACTTAGGAGCAGAGTATTTTAAACATGGCAATAAGTACCCCTGCTCCTGTAACAAAACTCCAACCCAGAATACTAAGTGTTGAATGCAGCTAGCTCCATGTTTAGTAGAGCTCTGCAGCTCTGTGTTTAATTCAAAACATACCTTACTCCTCCCAGCTGAAGCTGAATACTGCATAATGAGCAGATAGTATGGTAAAGCCACCTGGTAATGTACCATGATGGTAAATTTTAAATTGGTCTTTCTTTTAATATATCCATTTGAAAGAGCTGTCGGAAGAGGTCTGTGACACATAAATTATGAACTTATTTTGCAGAGCAGCTATTAAAGTTAACTGTTTAACATTACTTTTGATGTAATGATCTGAGGAGTCTTAGTTCTGTGTAGCTTTTAGTTTTCCATAGTTTGCAAGAGGAGTAGAGCTTCTGTAAAACAGTCTTTTCCATCTTTCAGGAGCCAGATTTTATTGATGATATAGAAGAAAAAACTCCCATTAGCAATGAAGTAGAAATGGAATCAGAGGAGCAGATTGCAGAAAGGAAAAGGAAGATGGTAAGTTGGGAAGCAAGTAGCTGCCTAAAGTCATCACTAAGGCTTAGTGACACCTGCTATTCCCATGCTAATTGCTGCCTTTTTGTAGGCGTGTAGAATCTGAGTATGTGTGAAGTCAGATCCTTACATGAACTTACCCTTAAAATGCAAGAGTTGCTATTTGAGAACATTTCATCTGGGTTGATCACTGCTTTCTGACAAAACCTGCTTTTATCTTCAACTGTATATTACTTTTTAACTGCCTTTAGATGATTTCTACAGTGTCTCTCTTAGATTTAATTATTTGTTCTTCACTATCGTGTGCTATTTGTGATGGTCATTTTTAGAGAGAGTGTTGGGAATCAGTATGTTGGCTATTCTGTTTGAGTTCCCAACTTAAAAAGCCCCAGAAATCCTGACTTTTAGAAGTTGGTAGAACAGTGTTACAAAGAGTAGCATTTAAAAATATGGGGGTTTTTGTTAGGCATTCAAACATTTTTAATATGTTCTTAAATCTGAAACAGGACTCTCTTGTTTGTCAGGGTTGGTATGAATATAGGCCTTTCGTCAGCAGTCTCTAGTAATTGCAGTGATTGTAACATCTGCCTTTAATCTGAGTTTCTGCTGAACTTTATCTTCATGTCAGCATATGTTTAACACGTTCTGAAGTACTTTAAAAAATAGAGGGAGAGTATTTAATTACATATTTGTATGCATGAAAGATTATGACCGAAATTGTTCATGATTATTGTTAAATCCATCAGACAAGAGAAGAACGGAAAATGGAAGCTATCTTGCAAGCTTTTGCCAGACTAGAAAAACGAGAAAAAAGAAGAGAACAGGCTTTGGAAAGAATCAGCACAGCAAAAACTGAGGTTAAATCGGAATGCAAGGAAACACAGATTCTCAATGATGCTGAATTTATTCAGGTAGTTATCTGGAGCTTTATTTTAAATCTAGCTTTTAACATTGCATATTTTGTCAGTTTGGATGTCGAACTGCACTTCAAGATGTATGAATTTATTTTTTTCCCTCCCTCTGAACTCAAATACATTTGACCAAAATCTGGGTGGTTCTTTGACATTATATTAGCTCCTAAACTTTTTTCCCAATAAGACACGTATAGAATTATTTAATGAGGAATATCTGTTACATGAATTTATGCAGACATACACACATCCCCCAACTGTGTAATTCAGTCTGTCTTTGAAGTTCAGGATAGAAGCATTTACCAGTGTTGACTTCAGCCACAGGAGGGGGCTTTCCTTATGCACTGTCTATAACCAGTGGAGAACAATTTGCTGCTTTGGTGGTTTATTCAGGAACACATTATAATCCTTTCTGTTATTTTAAAGGAAAGAAGTTATTAAAGTGTATTTTTTCTGAGTTCTTGCAGATGATACCTAATGTCTTATAAACAGTTATTTACCCTATTGTTGCTGGGTGCTTCTTAGTTTGCAAATACTCATACAGGTTCTCAGTTCAGGTTGTTTCCCTGAACAGTTCCTGTCAGCATTCTGTGAAGTACCTTTTGTGACAATGCTAAATACCTAGTAAACTATAAATTGCAGGAAGAATATTGGACTGAAAGACATCATGATGTAAGCAGTTGATTTCGAGCTTACAGATAAATTAATGTGGTGTTTCAGTTCTTACACAAATCTGTCCTGATCTGAATGGTGTGTGCGAGTACTCTGCAAGTGCTTGGGAGGAAAATACATGAATCTTGTCATTTGCCTTTAAGAAGGAGAGAAATATTACCTCTGAAGTATTGTAGTTCTGACAATAAAAATTAGAGGCTTTTTGGACCTGTAAAAGAAGAGGGAACTGACATTTTCATCTAAGAAAGATAGATAGCTCTAAATGTGTGTGGGATCTGTTTATGAGACTTCTGTGTTGTACCAGGAACCTGCAAAAGAAGAAACTGCCACCAAGCCTACCCCAGCCAAAGTTAATAGAGCTAAACAGAGAAAAAGCTTCTCACGGAGTAGAACTCACATTGGACAGCAGCGCAGACGGCACAGAACTGTCAGCATGTGTTCAGATATCCAGCCATCTTCTCCTGACGTGGAAGTAACTTCACAACATAATGAAACTGAGAATGCTGCACTGGTAGCTGAGCCTGAAGCGGAAACTGTTGTTACAGAAATGGTTACTGAAACAGAAGCTCCAGCACTTAGTAAATGCCCTACTAAGTATCCTAAAACAAAGAAGGTATGTGTCTTGAGGTATGGGGAGAAGAGAATGGACTTCAACAGAGTTTTAAAAATTACAGACTGCTTCATCAGTATGCAACTCCTTTTTTTTTTTTTTAAACATTGACTCACTTATTTAAAAATCACCATTGTATAGCCAGTCACTGGTAATAGATTAAAATTTGTAACATCCTCTGGTAGAAGTTCTTTTGGATTTTAAGAGACATCCAAAATACATCTTTCAGAGCAATTTTGGAATAAAATGTTTCCTAAATGGGCTTTCTAAATGGATTGAAATACTGCACATAACCAAAACATACTTAAAGCTGTTAATTTAAATAAAAAAAACAGGGAAATAAGTTGCCTTTCCTTCCTTTGTTCATTGTATGCTTCTGATAGCAAACAGAATATCTCCAAGGAAATAATTAACTTCTAGTACTTCTCAAATGTCTGTTCTGAAGTGAATGGGTTTAAACACCCAAAATTTATGTGCCTTTTTGGAGAGAAGATTCTTTAGTGCTTTGTTTTAAGTTTTTTTCCATTGGACTACATTGCAAAAAACTTCTGAGAAACGGCACAGTATTTAAAGACACTTAAAAATCTTAAATCTGCAAGTGCGAATAAAGCAGTAAAACTTTCTGCTTTGAAATTCTACAGACTGCATTAAAAAGTGTTTGTAGCTTGATTTACAAGAAGTTCTGAAAATTTTATATAGTTGAGGGAAAGGGGAAGGAAGTCATAGGTTGAAACTTCTTGTCAAATGAACAATAACAGTTTCAAGATGGTTTTATCTTAAACCCCCAAACACACCTTAGATTTTTTTTTTTCAAGAGGCACCTGAGTCATCCTGTAACACTGCTTATTGCATCACTGTTAAATTCTTATGAGAGGGGAGACTAGGATCTTTCTTCCTTTCTTCTGTGTTGCATAGCAGGAAGGAACAAAGATGTCCCAAGTCTGAACTTTACTGCACTTCTTTGCTGTTTCATAGTATTAAGGATGAATATCTGTGAAGTGTCTCATCACATTGCACTCAGTGTACTCTAAGTGCAGAGAAAGTCCTGCTTTAAAAATTAATTAAATAGGTTTGTAAAAGACAAGCAACTTAAATATATTATGATAATCTGTGTTAAAGCCTTACTATCACATTATTATTATTTAGTGTGCTATTTTTACATGTCCTTAATTTTGAATCATTGTAAAGTTTAGGCGGTTAGTTTATCTGTTAATAGAAACTCAGATCCACTGGCATGTTTTTTAAAAACACTGAACTACCTAAAGAATACCCTTTTTTGACTAGTGTGCCTTAGTCCATGTGTTATAATTTAATAAAGCTACAGTTGAAGATTCATGTTCAGCGCACCTGCCTGAGATGTTGAGTGAGGCACAGTCCTGACAGTACAGAAATCTGATTAGGAGTTTAAGTTTGTTATATTAATGTTACAGTATTTCTCCTCAGCCTAGTTGCTCAGGCACAAGTTTAAAATTTGCTTTGGAATTTTATTACTAAATCGACATTCTTAAGTACAGTTGATAGGGGCACTTGTACAGTATGTTCAGTGAGAATTAAATTCAGAAGAACTAAATGTAGTTTACAATAACAACAAGAAAAAAAAAGCCCTAAACTGGTATGTAAATAAATCTGTAGTGATTCCTTCTGCTATCCCCATTATTTCACTGAAACTGTCCTCATTCTTGCTGTGTATTTTTAAATTTGCAGCCTGGACACTAACTGTTTCTGATTTGTGTAATGGTTGACGAGATGAATAATTAGACTAAAAAATTTTTAAATGCCACTAATAAAAACCCTCATAAAACAGTGATTTCTTTTCTCTCTCTGTTTAGCACTTGGTCAGTGAATGGTTAAGTGAAAAGAGTGATAAAGCAGGGAAACCTACAGACAGTCTACCAGAAAGGCCTCTACGAATAACTACAGACCCTGAAGTTCTGGCTACTCAGCTGAATTCTTTACCTGGTCTCACTTACAGTCCACATGTTTATTCAACTCCAAAGCACTATATTCGTTTTACTTCACCATTCCTTTCAGAAAAAAGGAGAAAAAAAGAACCTGTGGAAAACATTACTGGCTCTTGTAAGAAGGTAATGCTTCCCTTCACTATGGTTCCCCATCCCATATTAATTAAAAAGAAGTCTATTTGCTAGCATAAATTTAGGCAGAAAAAAAGCTGGTTGGCAAACCATTTCAGTGGTGATATACTTTTTGAAATGTTCATCATTAAACTTCTAAGTCACTAATGTGAACTTGTCTTACAGCGTTGGTTGAAGCAGGCTTTGGAAGAAGAAAATTCAACGATTGATAGATTTAATTCACCATCACAAGAGAGATCTAGAAGTCCAGCCATCAATGGTGAACATAAAAGTCCTCTATTGCTGAATGACAGCTGTTCCTTAACAGGTGTGAAACTTTTACTAGTGCACTGCATAAGAGTTATATCAAAGTAGCTGAATGTTGAGAACTGTGTTTTTTAAAGTGACGATACTTTCTTTGAAAGAAAAGCTTCATTGCATAGGGCTTGGGATTTTTCTCCCCTTTAATGTATATTAGATGAGAAACCACCATATCTCATAGCATTTACAGTCAACAAAAGACTAATGTTTTTGACTGTTAATATGAAGAGATCAGGTGTTAAATTACTTTCCATGCTGTTCTGTATATTTAGATTCCTTTAAAACTCATTAGGCCTGTGTAGCACACAGGGGAAAAGCTGTGTAATCTTGTAGGCATAATAGAAAATGGGAACGCGCTAAAAACTAAACACACTTCCATAAGGATATGGAACCTGTCAGATGATTGCTTTTTACAGTCCTGAACTTACAATCTCCACTTTTTAGCTGAACAGTCTTAAAAATGCATAGAAGTTGACTTTCCCTTTTCTGGAGACACAGACAGTTCTTCCCAGCATCTTAACACACAGATTTCAGTTACTGATATATCCGTAGGCTGTTAAGAGTTTATTTTTCAGGAAGTCTGTAGGCTGTTAAAAGTTCATCTCTCAGGAAGCCTGCCCTTAAGAGATTTTTGTAACCATGCAGGTTTTTAATGTGGAATTCGTAATTTCATTACATAAAGTGACAACTGTAAGTGATTGCTGTATCTAGATATCTTCCAACTTTTTTCTAATTTTGACGCACAGATCTAACCACACCACTGAAAAAGCGAAGGCTGTATCAGCTGTTGGAGTCTGCATTCTCAGAAACCTCCACACCTACTCCTTCTCCCTATGCCACACCAACCCATGCTGACATCACTGCCTCCGAGCCATCCTTGTTTGCTACTCCTCCTAGGGTAAAAACAGAAGATGAAGCTTGTAGAAATGGTTACAAACCCATATATTCACCAGTTACTCCTGTAACTCCATGTATACATGGAAATACCATGCACTTTGAGGTGAGATTTATGAAGAATTTTAATGTGTTCAAAGAATGTGTTTGGACATTCCAGTGTAAATCGGTATTTGTACTCCTCCTGCAAAGGGGGGATTTATATTCCTCCAAGGTAAAAAATAAATTGACTTGCAATTTCTTCTTTATTTAGAATATTTCTTCACCTGACAGTTCCCCAGAAATAAAAAGGCGAGCTTACAGTCAAGAGGTAAGGAAACGTGCACAAACCTGCAAAGAGTATCTTGATTTCACCTGTATGGCTGCACTGTTCTTAGTAAATGCTGTTCACCAGCCATTGCAAGTTTCTCACAATGTAAAGGGTAAACTCCCTATAGGTTATTTGCGTACTGCTTTTTATTTCCATTTTACCTGTTACATTCTCTATTTTAAACTGGTTTCTTTCTTTTTCTGTATCACTTAAAACTCCTCATGACTGTAATGGAAAGGAGTAACTACTGTAATTTCCAGACAAGAACAGAAAAAGAACACTTTGCTTTCCAGGCTGTAGTTAGATTCAGGTTAACATTTCTCCTTGTTACCAGCAACTCTTAATTGTTCTTGTTGATCCCACTTATGCTCAGTGACAGAGCAGAGCAGAAAGGTAGTAAATGGGCTTAGGTAGATTAATTGAGAAGCATCAAGTGCTGTTGGAATGTGCCTGGGTACTCGCAGTGTGCAGAATGCATGTGTCCTGCTTTGTCTCAAAATTCAAAAGTGTCTTGGAAAAACTTTTTTCCCTTTTTGAAATAAATGTTTTGACATTGAGGAGAACCTGTTTTATGTTGAGTTGAAGCAAGTGCTTTGTAGCTTCCTCGCCTGGGACTTGCTGCTGTTGGCACTGCTCTCCTTCTTCTACCAGTCATAAAATAAAATCTGGCAAATAATGTTTATTTTTACTTTGGTTAATGTGCATTTTATTAAAATGCTTTAACCTAATACATTAGAATAGTAGAAATAAATGTCTGGCTGTAGAATTGTTTCTTAAAACAGATAAATTTATGGTACTTTAAGGCTTTTAATCCCACTTAGAGGCACAGCTGATTGTCAGAGTAGTTGCAGTTTTGATGGAGTGTGAAAAAATAGTTGATGTGTGTTTTCTTCACACAGGGTTATGACAGAGCATCGATTCTAGCACTGAATTCTTTCAGAAATTCCAGCCTGACAGAAATGGGCCTGCAAGAAATAAAGACTATTGGATATTCTAGTCCAAGGAATAGGACTGATGTCACACGGCAGTGCACTGGAGAAATGGAATCTGTGTCAGACCTCCAGCTGGGACTCGAAGTAATTGAGCAAAGTGCACTGCATAAAAACCTGGAAGCCCCCACACATGATAGGACTGATGCAAACAGCCAACTAGAAACTGCTCATTGTGGACGGGGCACAATTTACTCTTCCTGGGTAAAAAGTCCTGACAGGACAGGTGTAAATTTCTCAATGAATTCTAATTTGAGGGACTTGACCCCTTCACATCAGTTGGAGGTAGGAGGTGGATTCAGAATAAGCGAGTCCAAGTGCCCAATTCAAGATGATGGAAGAGGCATGTTCATGGAAGCATCTGTTTTTTGTACTTCAGAAGATGGAATTGCACCTGGCTTTGGAAGGACTGTCAATAACGACAATTTGATGGATGGAAATTGCACACCTCAGAATCCTCCACAAAAGAAAAAGGTTATAATTTTAAGAATCATTTGGTCTTTCATCAACTGCTAATGATACTTGCATAACAGAGAGAGCCCTAATGTAATAAAAACCAGCTGGTGGCTCATCTTTACATACTACAGCGTAATAGACATTTTTGATGGGAAATAATGAAGGGCGAAGAGTAAAGCTGCATACAACCTTCAGTAGATTTATTTTTTCCAAGTAATAGATACAAATTAACTTCTATTTCATATAATCTTAAATTAATTGCTCAATAAATTGCTTTTCAGGTTTGAAAATGGTTGCTTATGCCATTTGGTGTTACACTGTTCTATTATACAGGATATATAGTAGCATCATTGAGATCATATATGTGAATATCTGTTATGAATTACTGCAAGAAATTGCACTAACAGATTTAGGATACTCCGACTTTAAAGTCAAAAATGCACAGAAATACTTAGTTCCAAGGAATATTTTTCTTGACTTAATTTGGTTGTTGATTTGGGGTTTTTTTTATCAAATACTGTGTTTGAAAAATAAGTGCAATTTAAATTTGCTACTCATGAAACAGTTCTTGTGGGTAAGTGGTGTGGTCACGGGCAACTCGAACCAGGATTGGAAGTTGCTTTGCATAGCTCTGAGATTGCATTGTAGTGTCAGGTGAGAGTCCCTTTGCAGGAAGGACAACAGACGTGTAATGCAATGATCTCCAGAGCAACAGCTTGCCAGTTCTGTCTCATCAAAGACTGTAGTATTCTTTCTTGTTTGAAAGATGTGATTTATTTTCTTTATGGAAGTAGTGATGAGGGGGGTGGGGGCATTTTCTGCGTGTGTGTACGTACATGCACCCATGGGGTTTTGGTTTTTTGGTCACATTACAGCCCCTTGTATGTGCCTTCTCCCTTGTGGGCAGGGAGCATCCTGCTGGGGAGCACTCAGGATTCTTCCTTCAGTAGTTCTCCAGCAGAACTGGGTTTTTGTTTACTTTGCTTCAGGCTGAGACATAAACAGAGCGAGATTGATAGGAGTTCTGTTCTTACCTGGTCAAGGTCCTGAGAATTTTATAGATCCTGTGTGTGTTACTGTAGCCCTGCTGTTTTGGCAAACCCAAAAAGAAAACATAAGCCAAAATTTCTATAACTTCACATTCTTTTTTGTCTGAAGGCTAAATTGGTCTTAACAAATCCCAGCAGCACTTCGTGCTTCAGTAATCCTCCTCCTTTCTCTTGCTGACAAGGATTCTTCCAGGTTGTCACTGATGAGGGCTGATGCTACACTAATCCCTGAATAAAAAAAAGGTGTGGCTGCCCCCTGTCACCCCTGAATCCCAGGATTCCTGTCTAAAATTTTCAGTTTTAAGAAACAACCAGAGAAAATTGCATCTGTATCGCTGAAGGAATGGGTTTTTGGATTTTACAAAGACACACAAAAAAATTTGCAGCCTTTGACAGTATAAAAGAAGGAGGTGGTGGGCTAGATCTCACCAAAGGTGAAAGGCAAGAATTCAGGAATTTTGTAGGAAATAAATAGAAGCCTTTTTCCTAGGATCACATAAGACAGCAATGACCTAGGGCAGGTCTTTGGAGGAGGTTTTTTCATATTTCAGTGTTCCTGTGGTCATTTGCTTCGCTGTTTTCTCTCACCATTGCACAAGTTTTTGCCTTTTCAGTACAGTCCTGTGTATAGTGGCCACACTGCAAAGGCTTTGTCTGCTCTTAACGTTTAAGCTTTCTTTAAATCAATATTCTTCAAGGGGTCTCTGTCACGTGATGTGGAAATACAGAGTTGTCTGAAAGCAAGATCAGTTCTTAACCTGAACTTTTTTATGAAAAATCAGGTACTTCTGTTTTTACCCTGACATGTGGTTGAGTCTCTAATGGATAGAGATCTGTTTGAAAGCAAACAAAGAAAAAACCCTTAGGACTGCAAACAAAGCAGGCTGCCTTGCTTTTCTCTGTGTGTAAAAATGGATGACGGCTTTTATTGAGGACTAAGCCAGTTAAACATTAATTTTTTTCATTATTGCACGTTAGTTTCTTGGTTTGGATGTTGTATGGTTCAGAGTAGGTTGTTGATAACTAAGAGAATTTATAGGTATTAAATGTCATTTTCACCAAACTAGTGTAATTTCTGAATAAAGTAGGTCTGAAGGTCAGTATTTCAGCTCTTTGCTTCAAATCCTGAAGGTTCATAGTGAAAATGTTGGAACATTATTTTTCTCACTGATGACAACTTACTGTTTAAACTGATTTCTATTCTGTGGAAGGTCTGCGTAGGGATTTTACATACATATATATAAAGTAGAAACCACTTTTCATGTGTCATTATTTTTGGTAATAAACTTAGAATTAGCTTAAAAATATGTTCTTAATCAGTCTCTTTTAACATGCAGTAAAGACAGAAATTCAAAATAAACTCTGGGGAAAGAATGAAAATTTAAGTTGCAAATTCTGTATGTTAAAAATGTATGAAGAGCTTTGATACATGCAGCAGAGTGAAGCACAAGGGTAGTGGGTTTTTCATACGAGGAAGTCAGGCTGAGAGCAGGATGTGACCTCTCGAAATTTGCTTTACTGTATCAGTATACTCTTACTAATGCTGCAGTTCCAGGAGAAACTGTCCCTTGTAGCTACAACCACAGGTAAACTTTTTGCTGACTTGTGTCATCTGCTTCTTCCCTGAGGCAGAATACATACTTGTTCTCTTGGCAGAAGCTTTTTTATAACATCATCTTTACAGTTTTTAGTAGCTCAGTGCTCTGTAAATTCACTGCAGATGTGATGAAATGTCTTCAATTAATCTATCCTCAATTTCTTTTAGAACCAATTAAATAATACATTTAATTGAAACTGAGAAATGAAAGAGGTAAAACTTCCCTACTAATGTTTGTTTTCTGGGTTTTCTTGCTCCTTAGGTGTCCTTGTTAGAATACCGTAAGAGACAACGAGAAGCTCGAAAAAGTGGCTCAAAGACAGACAACTTCCCCCTGGTTACTGTATCTCCTCATGCTGCTGGTGGAGGAAATACAAGTAATAACAATGGTGCTAATGATGGGTATAACAACAGTGGTGAAAATGGGGAGCAAACTGATAACACTGCAAGCCTGCCTTTACCACTGCCAGCTACTGTTTATAATGCAGCTCCAGAGGACAATGGCAACAACTGTGCAATTAAGGAATCTTCCTCCAGTGAGAAAAATGAACCAGAAGTTCAGTGGTAAGCCACAAAACTATAGGACTAAAATTCAGAAGAATTATGTACTTAAATCCAAGTCTTTCCTATTTGAAATTAGTTTCCATTAAGGGTGCAGTGGCAGATTACTGACTGGAAGTCCTTTCAGATTAATGGAGTCGTCTCACCTCTTTCCTCAGAAATATAGAAGATACATCATAAAGATTAAAATATATGAAAAATTACCCATAAGACATTGGTTAAATTATTTTAATTCTGCTCTCCTTTTTTATTTTTTGAGAACAACAGAGATGTTAATTTGAGCATTTGTTTCCTTGTTTCCACTCCTTTGTCTGTGGACTGAAGAGAATGTTTTTCATGTTAAATCTCAAACCTTTCCAAAAGTGCTGTAGGGGAAGAGGGTGGAACAGGAGAATAATCTGTATTGATTAACAAAACAAAACTTCTGGAAGACCTTAGGAGGTCTGTGTTCCAGTCATGTGGCTGGAACATGTGTGGAATGTTTGCTGTAGCTCAGTTGCCACGTGCAGGGCTGCAGCCCGGCCACCAGCTCCTGCTCAGGGAGGGAGTGTGTGATGACACTGACAGTGTTGTTCAGGATGGTTAAATGGTTCCCTTGCTTGCAGACCATATGGTCAGTTGAATGCCATGCCAGGTACTCCTAACAACCAAAAATCCTGAGGAGAGATGGAGTATGGATGGGGATGAGATAGAGTGACTTCAGTCTGTATAAAACACTGCACATATTTTTCACTGTGGTTTTGGTAACCTTAAAATAGATGGTCAGCTGTGGTGACAATGTTTCCAAAATGTTAGTGCAAAATAAACCCTGTAGATGTTCTTCATGCTGTAGTGAAGGCCTTACTGTGTTGGGGATGAACATGGGCTGAGGAGTTGAACATCCTTCTGCTCTCATGCTCCAGCTGTTCTAGAAGCTGTTCCAGAAGGATTTTGTAGAGCCAGTCGAAGGGAGAGAACGTTGAGTGCAGTCTTAAGCATTCCACTGAAAAGTGGCTGTAAGTTCACTGTGCAGAAGACACTGCACTATATTGTAATCAAAGGATGTGGAAACAGGCTAAACAGAGTTAACTACTAGGATTTTGCAGTGACCCTGCACAGCAGCACCAAAATTTATTTCAGTGCACCACTATCATGGAATAATGCCATATGTCCTTGCCATAAAGGAAAGCAGAGTTTTGTGGAGTAGTGTTATTTATGATGTTCTTGATCAGGTTGTGATTGAGAGATGTAATTGATTGTAAGAGAGAAGATCAGACTGTCATTGCATACCCACTGTCTGGCAAGTAAATGTAGAAGCTTAAACAGAGGTGTATTTGTAGTAGTGCACTATTTACAATTCTGGATCCACTATTAAAGAGCAGATTCTTAACAACAAACAAATAAGGTGATTGTTTCCAGTTTCCAGCTTTGGAAGAAGACAGTTTTCTACAAATGGACACTAGGAACTAGTACCTGTGACCTTTATTTTTTTACTTTTCAGTTGTTTAGAAAACAATCCCACTGATCTACAGGTATTTCCTTATTGAGAGGAATTACCAGTTCCTGTAAAGTAACAGGGTTGCAGGAAATCAGTGTATTTGAAGTGGGGAAAAAATACATACAAACCACTTAACTAATAATGTTCCTTATGTACATCCAGTTATTTGGTTTTACATGAAACCAACACTGTAAACTCTCTGACTCTGTATTTGCATATACATTGTCCTAAATTTGGTCCGTGGGAGTACATCTTAAATTTAAAATGTGCTTCTCTCTTGCAGGACTGCATCAACCTCTGTGGAACAAGTGAGAGAACGAAGTTATCAGAGAGCTTTACTTCTCAGTGATCATAGGAAAGACAAGGACAGTGGTGAGTTGATTTATCATGTTGATGGTGTATAAATCTAACCAGTTCCCTCATGGTAGTCTGTAATCATTCTAATACTGTGTTTGGGTCTGCTTCATCTGTAGGGGGAGAATCACCTTGTAGGCCATGCTCACCGTCTCATGTTCAGTCTCCATCTCATTCAAATCTCATTTCCCAGTTGCAGCTTAAGGTCCCTTCTTTGACTGAATTTATGGAAGGTCAGTAAGCAGATGACCTTGTATGACACTTAAATAGTCTCTTGTAACAGCTTTAATAGCTCTTTTAAAGTCACATATAAAGAGCTTAGTGATCTCTGCAAAAGATTTGATTTTCCCACTTTGATATTTATCTCTGCTTGATTTTTATAGAACCTGATTCTGAAAATCCAGAGCCAACTTCTGAATGTCCGTCCCCAGATACTTCACAAAGGACTTGTAAGAGTCCGTCAAAAGCAAGCAAGGTAAAGTAACAGTGTTTACACAATAAGCATAGGAATAGCCATATACATCTGTGATGTATCTTTAAAAACGGTAATCTTATTGTTTACTACTTAGGTTACATACATACACGTTCATCTATCTGTGCAGTAATTTCACACAGTAAACACTTGTAAGAATATTTATCCATACACTCTGAAAAGTCGGTCTGTGTGCTGTTCCTTCAGTATCTGTACCTATTTATAGATAATCTTGCATTTAGACAGAGAAGAGATGGTGTCAGTGGATTCAGTACCAGTGCTGTTCTGAGGGGTGAGTGCTGAAGAACTGGCACTCAGAACCAACAGCAGGGATGTGATTTACCCTTAGCAGAAGGTTGCTCTTGTCGTGCCAGGGTTTGGCACTGTTTTGTCTGTCAGGGCACTGATAATACAGAGGAGGATGTTGAGTAATTGCCTGTGCTATATTAAATGAAGTAATTCAGGTTGTAATGTTTAGTCTGCTTGCTTGCACTACCTCAGCTTTAAAAAGTTAAATCACTCTAAAAATGGCTTTATTTTTGTAAATGGTCTTCTCTGGAATTACTTCTTTCAGATTCAGAAATCCAAAACTTTTAACACATAACAGATTCAGACTTTGACCTGATGGGTCATGTTTCTGTTACAACTTTAAAATACAACTGCTAGTCTTTGACGTTGAAGAATTACTGACACATACTTGCTAAAAATAATGTTTTTCTAAGCTTAATCTTTCTGGTTTTCGTATTTTTCTTACACCATGTTTTCTTATCCTGCACCTTGACACTTTTTTTTTTGCCATCAGGGAGGGTATTCTGAGATCTTCTTTTCTCTCTGCTGCATGCATGGTTGAATATTTTGAATGTCTAGCACTGACTTGACTTTCTTTTCATTCTAGCCCTCTTCACCGAATCCTGTAGTTTCAACGCAGTCACTTGGGAAAACACCCACAAAACCAGATTCACACTGGGAAACTGCAGCTAATGCACCTGAGACCGAATGTGCGAACCATCCAAAATCTGAGCTGCAACAAAAACAGCTGACAAACAACGTCCAAGCACTTTCAAAGAATCATCCATCTCAATCACATCTGCGCAGTTCTGCTGAGCAACTCTCACATTCACAGAAGTTGCCTTCCGCACCTTTGAAGCTGCATTGTCCCCCTTCGCCTCATGTAGAAAATCCTCCCAAGTCATCTACCCCTCACGCGCCTGTGCAGCACGGTTATTTGTCACCAAAGCCTCACTCACAGCAGTTGGGATCTCCATACAGACCTCATCATCCACAGTCACCTCAAGTTGGAACACCCCAGCGGGAAACACACCGAACCTTCTATCCGGCAGCACCGACCCTTCAGCCCAGTAATCAGCCGCAGGCGAGCGGGCCCCTGTTCACTCAGACAACATCAGGACAATCCTCAGCTTCTTACAGTCAGTTTAACCAACAAAATTTGAACAGCAATGCGCCACCTCCTCCACCCCCTCCACCCCCTTCTTCTACTTACTATCAAAGCCAGCAGCCCTCTGGAAACTTTCAGAGCTACAGCCAGCTGAAGGGCAGCATACCCCAACAGACTGTGTTTTCATCTGGACCAAATCAAGCACTTCCTGGCACTGCAGGTCAGCAAACAGTGCCGGGACACCACGTAGCTGCAGGGCATTTTCTGCCGTCTCAGAACCCCAGTATTCATCACCAGGCATCGGCATCCGCTGCTCCGCCGCCGCCTCCACCACCGCCTGCGCCAGGGCCTCACCTTGTCCAGCAGCAAAGTACTCATCAGCAGCACTCTGTAGCACATGTTGTCGGTCCGGTCCATGCCATGGCAGTGGCTCCTGGATCGCACATTCATTCTCAAGCTGCTGGTCACCATTTGCCACCACCTCCTCCGCCACCAGGTCCTCTCCCCCACCACCAACCTCCCCATCCTTCACCGGGACACCAAGGTTTGCAAGCACAACACCAGCATGTTGTAAACTCAGCACCTCCCCCCCCTCCACCCCCTCCCTCCAACGTTATCGGTTCGGGCCACCACCCGGCATCAGCACAAGGGTTACACCACCCCTCTCATCAAGGACCCCCCCATTTCCCTTCAAACGCTCACACAAGCGTGTCCTCCTATTCCTCGCAAGCCCCACATCACACGACGTTAGGACCTGGACCTCAACATCAGCCTGCTGGCACAGGACCTCATTGCCCACTCCCTGGTCAGGGTCCTCACATCCAACCTCAAGGACCAAACAGTATTGCAACACCTACTGCTTCCGGGTTCTGCCCTCACCCCGGCTCCGTGACCCTTCCCCACGGAGTGCAAGGGCAGCAGCAGGCCTCGCCGGTGCCGGGACAGATCCCCATCCACAGAGCACAGGTGCCGCCCACTTTTCAGAACAATTACCATGGGTCAGGGTGGCATTAAAACAGATCCCTTTAGTTATAAACATTTTTAAAATGTTCTGTAATATAAACTGTGTATATTTAATATGTACCTATTCGAGGTACTTTTTAAAGCTTGTACATGATACTTTGTATAAAAGCAAACACCAGTGCTCTTCCATTGTATCCTTTCCATTTTTTGCTTTTTAAAATTCCTGAAAATGTGCTGTTAAGCCAGTATTAGGTATTTCTTTTTATTTTGTAAGTGGACATTCCAGCTGTTTTTTCTGGCAGTAGGTTTGATGCTGCATAATGTTTAAAATTTTATTGTTGCAGTTAAATTCATTTAGTGAAAGTTTTCTATATTACTTTTATACATATGTAATTAAATAAGTACACAGGCTAAGTGATGGCACTAACAGGTTTTTTTTTTTCATTTTCTTCTGTCAACAGTTTTTTGTGTGCATAGAGATAGGAAACAATGCAATACAGATTTTTATAGTTTTGGTGTGGACATGGCTTTTTGTTTCATCAGTTATTTGCAGAAATTGTAATTTAATGTATAGACTGTTTCTAATGTCTGACGAGTGCTGTAAATACTGTATTTCTTTCGCTTGTAAAGTTGCTTAAAGCTTCTTTCATTTGATATAGTATTGTATATAATAAGTCTTTTGCAAAAAAAAAGTGTGATCTTTGTGAAAGTAGTACAGTATATGATCTTTAATTTTTTTTAATATACTGTCACATTGCAGCACTGGTTGGGCATTTTAATTCATGTTAATAAATCACAATTATGTCAGTTTTAACTACTTGTCCTGAAAGGGTGGTATGTTAGCAGGGAAGTGGCCTTAGGTCTGTGGAACACCCCCTCTTGCTCCCTGCGAGGCTGTTTACTTCCCTGCAGTTTCTAGCTGTGGCTTTACTTCTGTAGCACAGACAGATGTGGAACAGGCTGGAGGAAGGGAGGTTGAGGAAGAATCCCCCCAGGCACAGCAGGGTCTTGGGTCAGTTTACTGATGTTAATCAGGGGCAGTGATGTGGTACAGTGTTGTGTGCTAGAGGTGTTCTGACCGTGGTTACAGACGTGGAGCCACCTGCAGCTGTAGTTCATTGTAGTTCCTATTTCTGTTTTTGTAGCTTTTCAGGCCCTGCTGGTGGTGCAGACTTTAAAGGAGCTGAGTGTGTGATGCTGTAAGGGGGCACAGAATGTTACAAACTGTGTAGCACTTCGGTTTTTTAAGGGTTTATTCCTGCAGCAGAAGAGCAGCAGCTGCTGTAGTGCTTATGGGTGCAGTTATTCTGTAATGGGTGTGTGACAGTGTCCTTCTATCTTGGCAGTAACTGCTCTCAATTCTGCTCACATAACAGGACGGTGCTCAATGGCTCCACCTCAGAACCAGAGAGGAGAACCAGTGTGGGAGGAAAGCTGAAACGGGATAGGAGGGGAAGTGGCTGCTCCTACTCACTGAAAAAAAGTGGTAATTCTTTTTAACCTGTAGACAAAAACTGGGGCCACTTTAAATTCTAATTTGCCTCTAATTAATTGTATTAGTTCAAATCACACACTTAGAAATGCTTTCCTGAACACCGGCTGGCTCTGCAGAACACACACTGTGGGGAGTGTGCTATGTTTTGCACTAGCCTGATGTAGGACAGGATTAGGCCATCAACAGCAGAAAACTGAATCCACTCTAGCTAGGAGTTGCTCATCACTGTTTTTGAAAAAAATCTACATCAGCCTCTTGAGCCCAGTATTCAAAACTGGTTGTCTGCCCCCGCTTCCACACCTCCATGAAGTGACATCATCATTTTGAGTGTAAAACGCACACTGTGCAGGGCAAGAGGTCTTAGGTGCAGCACAAGGAGCTGCTGCACTGGAGTGCAGAGTGGGACTAGGCCTTGGTGCCTCAAGTGCTTCTGCAGTGCCATAGCCAGGCTAGAGAGGAGAGCTGTGCCTGTTGTGCTCACTTGCCTGCCCTGGCTTGACCTGGCACTTTAATCCAGTGCCAGCATTTTCTGTGTATTCAAGAACGTGTTTCTAAGGTGTTGCAACGGGCACTAAAGGGGCCAGGCTGGCTGTGAAGTTGAACATAATTTTTACCTCCAGTTCAAGTCCATTGTGGCATCATCCTTCACACCAGTGTTGTCCTTGCAGCCATTAAAAGCAGTTCCAGGGATGCGGGTGAAGGCACATGGTCCTGAAACCCAACTGCTGTCAGGGCCTCAGCACTGGATGAGTTTCTCCTACCCGGGGCTTTGGCAGTTCTCTGGAGGAGTGGCTGCCCCAGCCCTTCGCTTGTGACAGGAGTTAAACAGCTGGTAGGAAAAGTCCCTGTTTTGCCAGGTTTCACCCAGCAGCCACTCCCAGCCCTCCTGCCACAGGACTGCTCGGGCTGCTCTGACTGACACCAGGGGAGGTATTTCATAAAGGAACACAGGAAGCTGCATTTCTCTGGCCAGGCTACGCCAGCCCCCGCCCCCCACCCCTCCAGCACAGCAGCTGAGTCGTGGCTAGGCAAAGATTCCAATGACCAGCAACACTGTCTGAAAAAACAAAACACTTTAATTAGACAACTGCAAGCACCTCAAACAACTGGTTATTGTTACAGCATGGGGCTATCTTCTCACAATCTAGTTATTGCAAAGGCATGTGAATAAATTTCATATGGACAAAGTCAAGAAAAAAGTGGCACCGTAGTTACATGAAGATCAGGAGTAAGCTTACATTCATCCCACTGACTTCTAAAAGAGGCCCAAACACACCTCCATACTGTACATTCTAAAATCTGTATTGCCTATAAGCTTCAGCCGATGCAGCCTTTCCTAGAAAACACGTAATTGTTGCGTGCAACTTACAATGGGCAGTCGTATGTCTACGGATGGGAAAGAATAAAGCTAGTGCAATTTGTTTTAGAAACATGTAAAGCTATGAATGGAATGAGCATGATCTCACTTCTTGGATTATTTTACCCACTGCCCTGTAAATGTCTGCAGCTATATCCTTCCTTAACTGATGCCAAGCACACACTTTTATTATAAAAGATCAGTAATTCTACACAGAGAGTGGTTCTCATGCTCTACTTTTAATTTTTTTTCTTTTTCTTAAGGTATAGTACAACTTACAGTGCTTATAAAAAGGCAACACCATATGGTACCATGTCTTCACTATCACATTGTAGGGAAATTGCTATTTTTCTTTTCTTAAAAGCACTTAAAATAGGCAAAAGTTCTAAAAGGGAGTGCTAAATGGTAATGCATACTTTATTAGAAAGAAGTCTAGCCTTCCTTTAAAGTGCCATTTGGGGAATGAAATCCTGTAAACCAGAGCCACTTTGTTTAAAATCCAATGAACGGGAACTGCTGCAGAATAGAAAGTTTACATAATTCCTTAAAGCAGTTTAAAGTCCACTACATGCAATTGGTTTGCTATAAAGCTCTCTAAAACTTAAGTCGCTTTACTCTGAAATTGAGTCCCCAGTCCCATATTTAAATGGAAATAAACATTTACAGGGTGCATTTACATACATTATAATACAAGAATGATGTCCCTTTGCCAGAAGATAAAATTGTACAATTCCTCACCGTAACTCAATTCTGACTTGATAAATTTCTTACACTCGTAAATTATATAATATGCATCAGCTAAAATATTTTTTTTTCATAAATAGTTACAAAACTTGCCAAAACACATGGGGGGAAGTTTCCTTTGTTCAAAAATCTGACATCCTGAATGTCACACAACACAAGAAACAATGCTTAAAGACACGTTAAGTGTTTTCTGAAGAAAGTGGGTGAGTAAACTACTAGCTGAAGACAAAAAGACTACCCTTCCCCAAGAACACAGTGCACAAAAAGCAAAATGTCAAACAGTACCTCAAGCAAAATAAAGGTCTGAGGATTGAAGCCAGCTCACGTGTGATCCTGCTAAAGATTTTGTGACAGTCACCATTTAGGTCCAACGCATTGGAAAGTGGTTGCTGGCTTTTTTTTTACAGCTGGGAGATTCTGCTAAGAATTCAGCCATGGATGCCTAAGGCATTCTCCAGCTGAAGCGCGTTTCTCTGGGACCATTTCTAGCATGGGGATCAGGAAATCTGTAAACTGTGCAGCATCTTCATGAGGCCAACCGTACTTCTCCACAAGCACATCAAAAAGACTCCAAGGTTTCAGCTTGGTAATGTGTCGGAGTTCTCCTGCAAACAGAAAGTGAATGGCATTAGAAAAACACCTCATTATCCCTGTTAGCGACTAATCCCTGTTTCGTTTTTCTCCCACTCTGCATTCACAGCACCTTGACCAGGCTGAGAATCATTGCTGACGAAGGACAGCACACAGCAAGCTTGAGGTCCTCAAAGGAGACGAATATATCCGATGTCAAAACCAAGAAACCATTCCTACAGCAGACAGCATGTGACACGTGGATTCCACTGATGTTTCCTGCTGTCTCCACTCTCCCACACACAAAGACTCACACACAGGCTCACACCGTGGGCAAAGAACACTGCAGGCCTTTCCTTCTTCATCAGCCAGTGAACCCAAGTTTTACAAAATCTGCTCCGATCCCAAGACAGAGGTCTCAGAAACACAGGTCCCTGCCTTGCTCCATGGCATTTGCCAGCAATGCAGCAGAGCAGCAATTCATTCCTAACCAAGCAGAGCAGGGAGGTTTGGCACTCAAGGGATTCTGCTCCATCTCCCAGGTAAACACCCCCAGGAGGCTTGGTCTGAATCCTTCCTGAGAAGGAAGCACCTGCTGCTGCCCACGTCTCCTTCAACCAACCACTGAGACAAGTGGTGGCAGCAGCTGCAGAATCTGAATTCTCACAGAGGGGGGGAATCGTACATCTGGCCAACCTGGCAACGTGTCTCAGACCAAAGCAGGTGAGAACCCGTCTGCCATTAAACTCAGCAATATTATCCGGGTCTGCCTACAGCTCATCTGGCATGATGGGGAAGACTCTTCAGTTTCCTGCTCCTCCACTGCGTAGGAATGAGGCCTCAAGCCATGAGGTATGTGATGAAGGGATAACCATGGATTACCAGGTTATCAGGCCAGATGACCCTTATTGCTGCAATCAGCTGGGTGGAAGAGGGACTGAGGTGTCACCTTATGCAAGACCCGCAGCCTGTGTAATCGAGGCTCTTGATATCCCTTGTTTATGTATGACCTGGCTGCCCCCCCCATTTATGATGGCAATAGTAGGGAATTTGACTATGGTCTCACCTCCACTTCTACCAAAAGGATCAATCTGACATTTGAAATCCTCTGTGAAGAGAATGAGACGAGTCAATGGGCTCGCTCATCTCTCTATCCCAAAGCAGAGACACCCGTCTAGTAAGATTTGTGCTTCTGACTGTGTTGGAGCATACCCAGGAACACTTGTACACAGTGCTTGCTATACACTTATATTTTGTACACCTAATACATTTATCACCAGCAATCTCACACGAGAACCTACAGCCTGTTGTTTCAATAAACTACACTAGTCACAAATCTGCATTTGTGAAAGTTCTTACTGAACATGACCAGACTTAAGAGCGCCTGATCTGTTCTAAGCAGTAACAAAGCCCAGCTGCACCCAGCCCTCTGATCTCTGAGGACCAGATGGAACACAAGGGCAGTTGTTTTCTGCCATATTTCTATACTCTTAAGGCAACCCATGGCCATCTCCCTTCTTCCCAGGCGTACGTCTGACCCAGACAGTCTCCACATGACACGGCAAAAAACTTGAGAGACCACTGTGGTGCTTCTGCAATGTCCCCTGAACTGCTGAGGCGAGTGATGGGTTCTTACCCACAACAGGAGGCTGAACATGTCTCCTCCACAGCTTCACAAGCTCACTACACCATCTGGTAAGGGGGCATCCAGGCCGTATTATATTTAGGCAAAGTGGTCTGCCAGCCCGGTGGTTATGATGCGTGGCTGTAACCTACTGCCCATAAAATGCCATCAGACATCAGCTCGCAGTCAGATTTTCTGTACATTCCTCTGGCTAGAGAAGTTCCAGGGCAGGAGAAGAAACCTGTGTCAGACTGCCCAAGAAGCTGAGCATCTCAGTGCAATGGAACAAAACCCCCAAAGGCTCAGCAGGCCACATTTCTGCTGGCTCAGCCCTCAGCAGAAGGTCCTACAGGGTGAGGTGCTTGAAAAGGCAGCACTCCAGCCCCTGTCACAAGGTCCCCAAAAGAGCAAATGTGCAAATGATCCATCACTTGCAAGTGAACAAAAATCCTGCTGGTAAGAGAAACTCAGGATGTGCTACCCACAGCTGGCCCACTGTCCTCTTTCCATCTCACAGGGCAGGAGGGTTTCTGAGAGGGGACTGTAAGCAGAGGCTGCCTTCTCCTGTTTTATGTCTGAATATTTACAGCACCAATGTGTCCCATCAGTACCCACCAGTCAAACACAAAAAGGCTCCACTTTGGGCCCACAACTGTCCCACAGTATGAACATACAGGAAGGACAGCACATCTCAGAGCAGCATATTCATTTCCAGCCTCACTCTCAGCCCTTTAAATCTTTGTGCAACTCTGAAATGTAACTGCTGAAAATCTTACCTTTTGGAAGGTTTCCAAAAGTGTATACTGGTGACTACTTATAAGAACAGGTAATTTATGTAAGCACAGACTCAAATACTGCCTAAAAGCGATAGAAAACAGTGACTTATTATTGAGTACAAGCAAAAAATTATTATAAAAAAAAAAAAAAAATCAAGCTGTGTCCATGGCTTCCCCAGCTGACAGCAATCATTGCAAGGGTTGTTGCAATCATTTACCAAACTAGGCTATCTCTGGGGGAGGGTGTGTGTTTCCATGCAGCACTGTCTTCATCTCTGCATTCTCATTATATTGTTTCCAGCTTCTTTCCTCCCTCAGATTTGGTAAGGTAAGACTGCATGATGAGGCTCCTGGCGTCACTGTGGAAGGCAAGTTCACGCTGTTTGAGTACTCCTTATTTTGTAAATGCTCACACTAAGACCAGCACAATATTCTGTAGAGTTTTTCTGCTGAGGAAGGAACTATTTTAGCACTGTGGACTGAAGTTTTCCACAAGAAATTCTGTGAAGATTGTAAAAGCGTTTAAGAAGGTAGGATACAGTAAAAATTATCTGTGTGGGGGCCACAAATTAAACTAGTGCTTCAGTTTTCAATAAGGATCGTGATGCTGACCATAGAATAAAAATAGGTTAAGTAAAAGACAATTAACACAACTGAGGTGGACAAAAAACCCTAAGAATTAATTTTCATGTGGTGGGTCTTTTTCGTTTCCATCCTGAAGCGGAAGAGAGCAGCACAGAAAATGGAAGTGTCTGCCAACACATACTTTCATCTATTCAATGAAGCTTGTACTAGGCAGGGTGAGGAGAGCAAGCCCGTACCTGTATTTAAGGGAGAAATTAAAAGCACAGGCCCCACCGGTCTGACACCATCCATATTCAGGGCATTACCATGAATTTTCAAATAAATGCTAAAAATGTAATACTAAGTGAGATCTTCCTAGCAGAAGCTCTTTATTTAGATTTTTTATAGTGAAGCACACAGGAAATAATCTGCAGAGGACAATGGAGCTGTCAGAGCTGTAAAACCCCTGCTGCCAAAGCAGAGGCAGCAATGATCCCTCTGAAAAGTGCAATGTTAAGTCAGAAGGAAAACACTAAAAAAATTGCTGGAGGACCTGGGGGGGAGATGCTATTTAAAGCTCTCTCTCTGCTGACGATAACACAAAAAACCAGAACTAGTCTATGAAATTTGCCAAAGACAAATTTAAGATGTGTCACCAGGCAAGAGGAGGACAGATTATTGAACAGTAAGACATGGATGACATGAAGGACTGGGGAAGCAGCAGTGGGATATATTCTGCTGCTATGTACATATGACACGGTCCCCAGAACTAACACAAGGACTGCTGGGAAGGTCTCCCAGTACAGCAGATGCAAGTGAGGGAGGTGGAGAAGAGCCCTCCCCTTCCCTTCCAGGATAGTAAATGAGCAGCAGTACTTCTCATTGTTACATCTTTCAAAAGGCAAAGCCAGCACCTGGCTAACATCTTGCACAGGTTTAGCTCACAAGGAACAGAGTTAGCAAATACCAGAAGAAAAATAAAAGTGTTTCAGGTTTTAATGCCAAAATGTATTAATCATTTTTACAGTCAAAATAACTGCCATGAAGACACTGGAGAAAAGGACTCCTGAGAGTTATTACTGGGCTCAATCAAGATCAGACCCTATAAAAAGTATGTGAGCATTTGTGTTATAGTGACTAAGAAGTGACTTGCAAATGCTTTTCCTTTTTAAAACGCAACCTCCAGTTTGAATGTCACAAACTGCTTCAGTCAATTACTGAGAAGGGGCTCGATCCTGTAAACTCATTAGTTGCTAACACCTTTCTTTTTGTGCCTGTGACTTCAGTAGCTCAACCGAAATGCTTAAAGCTTCTCTCTGAGGTCAAACTTATGGACAGGAGCAAAAATCATGATTTTTTTATTTTCCCCCAAGGCTGATGTTTTCAAAACAGGGGCCCACAGCAAGTTTTTTAAGCCCACCTTTACACCACAAAGAGAAATTCTCTGAAGAGCCTCACGCCTGTGCCACAGGGCTTCTGATCTCCAGTGCTCAGGACACAAGCAGATGAATACAAAACGCATCAGCTTGCTGGCCTATCTCTGCCAGCCCACCACATGCAAATCCCTCCTGGGGGCACCGGAGGCTGGCAGTACTGGGATGGCAGGGAAAAGGAAAAGGATACCTCGTACCCAATTCAAAGAAAAGATGCTCAAGTGAGCAGGAAACTTGCCACCTCTGTTATTCTTCCACAAAGCACTTCAGTTTTCCCAGCCTGCAATAGCAGAATAACTGGGATGATCTGAAAATGCAGCTTAGGCTATTACTCCTTTGTCTTGCATTTAAGATTTTCTGGTTTGAGTAGAAACAGGTGGAATTGAGTCTACTTAATCTTCCATAGCAAACTCGCATTTATGTTTTGTGTGGTGGGTGAACCCAAGCCTTTTAAGGTGCTTAAATCCACCCTGTGGGATTTAAGAGGCACCCTCAGTGCCTCTGAGGAATGTCACTGAAGTTCAGGCCCTAGAGGACAACAGTGACAGTCTGCAGTTGAAGATGCTCATGGAAGCAGGAGAAACTCTCCACTTCACAAGAATTTTACAAACTGCCCTCTTCTGTGCACTGCCAACACTGCAGTTACTGAATAACTGTTTGGTCATTTTACGGTTCTGTGACATCACTAGAAAATGCCAACCCATCTGCTGTAAGGTGAAAATTAGGAACATGAGATACTTTAAGGGAGGGTCAGGCTGGGGGGGTCTTTCTAATTTAGTCGCAGCCTCTGACAAACAGGAAGGGGCAGTGAGGGCTGGCAGAGGAGCCCTTCTGCAGGCCCTGCCCCACTCCAGCAGCCGCACTCCTTGTCTGGGGATGCCTGTGGGCCTTGAGTTTGTTCATCTCAGTTAACAGGAGACTGTTTTAAGCCTGCTGATACAGCCTCTCTCTCTGCCCCCTGTGGCAGCTCTTGAAGCTTACTGTCTGCTGAATAGGGAAGTGCTTGTTTAAAACAAGCCACCCCCTCTAAATTTCACTGAGTTTCCCCCAGCTCTAACACAGTGGGTGCTGGCAAACAGCTGCTCTGTCTTCGGCTTATCCACTGAATTCCCAGTTATGAAAACCTCGACAATTCCTCCAGCAGCCTTCTCTGCTCCACACTAAAAAGCCCCAGGCACTTCAGACTCCCCCAAAGGGCAGCTGCTCTCTCCTACATCATCACTGCTGCCCTTCTCTGCACTGTGCCTAACACCATCAACAGCCTCCTTTAGGACACCAAGGCTGCAGAGGTCCCTGCCGGACCAGAAATATCCACGCACAGAACAAGAAGCTCTCCTAGGAGGGAGGATGAATCACTGGATCATGTCCTGCCTCATGACCCCAAGCTGCTGCAGCCCAGCACTGCCCCTCAGCCCCCCCAGCACCCCACGTGTCCAATGCCACTGGCTGGCCAGCGCTGGCCCTGCTGACGAGCTGCGCTCAGGCCTGCGGAGTCACGGGCAAGAGGGAATCCTGTCCAGCAGGAAAGCACTCACCAGCTGCAGCTGATAGCCCCAGATATTCCCCCAGCCATGTAAGAGGATGCTTCAGACACACCCTGTCCCTCGATACAGCACAGTGCTGTCTCACACACGGAGGGGACAAAAGACACTTGAGGTATCACCACGTTCCCTCACGTGTCAAAGAAGCCCCCTGCTCTGCCTGCTCCCATGAGACCGACTGCACGCAGCTGAGTGTCCACTGCCCAAGTATTCCCTTCCCACCTCCTTTATTTCTTACCAGCAGCACCTGCTGGACCACCACGTATGATCCAAAGTTGCTGACAGAGGATTTTCCACCACATTACAAACTACGCAGAGAGTCCTCACATTTGCACAAACATCAGACAACAGATTCACACAGACACTTGTTAACATCCACACTTTGTTGAGTACTTCCC